GAGAAGGACATTGCGAAAGATCATTTTTATTTTAGTTCCAGAAGTTTTTATTTAAAAAAAAAAAAGTTCTTTTCCCATCTGTTTTTATTTCTCAATGCAATTTTTCATGAAGTGTTTGTCCGTCAATCAAGACAAACAGAGCAGAGCCAGATACAGTATGTAACTGGCTGTCTGTTCATTCAGATCAAAGCATTTGGTAAATGTTGAGTGTTTGTGTTGATTCAGAAGACGATTCATTCCATACTTATGTATTTTAGTTTTGAACACCTTTGATTTCCACAATATCGGTAAGTAAAGGTAAAGATAAATGGATTGTATGCAGTGGCAGGAGAAGTATTCAAATCATTTTACTTAATTAAAAAGAAATAAACACGATATAAAAATATTCCTTTACAAGTAAAAGCCTTACATTCACAATTGTACTACTCTAAAGTAAGTAGTATTCATTATGCAGAATAGCCGCTGCCAGTGATATATTGTTATATTTTTGGATAGTAGAATGTACAATATTTACCTCTGAAATATAGTGAAGTTTAAGTGTAAAGAAGCATAAAATGGAAGTATGCCAAAATTGTACCTAAGTTCTATACTTGAGTAAATGTACTTGGTTACCTCCCATCACTGATCATATGTCTTTATGTCTTGGTAAATCAATAATCGTATACAACACATCATTGAGATTGTAGTATCAATCTTGCCATCAGGTGTCACTATTGTTCACTTTGTGTGGTTTCCTCTCTGTTGCTCAGTTCTTTACAAAGCCACTTTGATACTATTTTACATTAGATGCATTTCACGTCTTATATATATTATATTGTCTACTCAGATATTGAAGTTTGTTTGTATATGATTCCATTTTTGTAAAGCACACAACACTTTTCAAAGATTACCTTAAACTGAAGATTACAGAAAACAAGTCATTGAAATTACACTATCATCATCATCACAATTAAACTCATCTAGGTAAAGTCCAGACAGATATTAACATCAATATTTATATACTCAACAGGCTCACAATGTAACAATGTAATACTGGTCTATTTACTGGTGTAGGCCCGTTAAGAGAAGTGCCTGATAAAGACACAAGAAAATCTCCTTCATCCAATTCCACTGCAAAGGGAGCAACAGCATATACAGTGCTCGGAGATCTACGAGAGGAATGACAGAGTTGAAGAACAGGTTTGTCAGAGACCGTTTCCTTTCAGAACGGCTGTTCCAGTTAAGCGCATGCTGACGCACTGAGGTCATTTCACTGAGAAATGGAGAGAGTGGGGAAGGAAATGAAAGCGCTGCTGTTTCTTCTTTTTGAGTTCTCAGAGGACTGTTTGACGAGAAAACATCTGACAGCTAACCGATGGAACAGCTGGTATAACTGATGTTGTGTACACTGTGTGGTCTTTCTCTCTTCAATACCAGTACAGGTCCTTCTTGTCCATGCGCCGTTCTGTCAGAGAGGAGACAAAATGTCAATGATTGCTAAGCAAGTTACCAAGGTTACCGACGACGAAATCAGGAACTAATTGGTTATTAACCAATTCTTAAAGAACTCCGAATATAATAGGTGGTCTGCTGTCTAATGATTAGCGCCTACATATCTGTAAACCCCCATACTGACCACTTTGTACTTCCACTAAATAACTCTGCATCAGGTGCAAAATGACCCGTAATTGCTGCTTTCAAGTAAAGAAGCAGTGCATCATACCTACTCTCTGCGAGTGCATCATGACCAACTAATGAATATGAATGTTAATGTGAATGTGCTCTGGATTTTTTTTTTTAAATTACACTTTAGCTGTCTCTCAAGTATCATAAAATGCTTTCCTAGGAAGAACTCAGCTGGTAGCTACTTATCTGTTGAGTAATAAGATAATTGTATTTTCATTAGAGGGACAAATAAATAGAAACACATGCTTAACATAATAAGGAAGAAAAATTGGTGACATGCCATTTAGTAATTGACCAGGAGTTCCCCTTAGGCACTTTGTTAACATATTTTCATTAGTTCCTAACCAAGACAAGCCTCATGGCATCAGCAGGGGTGTTTGGCTTTGGAAATCTCCTCCAGAACCACAGAGGACAAATGATTGTTTTTTAGTATGTAGATCCTCAGATATGTAATGATTAGATACTTACCATTGGCATAGTACTTAACACTCAGTTTTTAGTAACTAATTATTACATTTTATATAATTATTGCTTCACAGGTAGAGGAACTCCTTGATATGTTGCTTTCTCAAACTACTCAGGATCTAAAGTGTTATCTATCTGAGGTCCAGGTATTTTCATTTCACTGGTTGGAAAGTTTTTTTCCTAAGATGCTGTATTCTAGCTGCAGTGCTTACCAGGTTCAAATCCTACAGCTGGGTCCACAGACTCTCTAAACCCTTGAGGCACCGTCCAGCTGGGAATCAGTTCTGGCTTGGAGCTGGACGCCATGCTGGGTCCCATCTCACCCCTGTCACTATGCAGCAGGTTGAGCAGGGATGTGGCGTATTGCTGTCCAGTAACACTCAACCCTTCTGGCGACAGGGAGTATGCAATAGATGGCAAACCCGGGCCCTGTCCTGCCCTGGCAGCGAGCGAGTGCCATGGGCCAGGAGTGTTGTCTGCAGGGCTGAAGTTTAGAAGGTGTCCTGGTACAGGAGGGGGCTGTGACTCTGTGTAAGAGTCCACAGCGAGGCCCTGACAAGGGCTGTTGTCTTCTGCAGCAGACAAAGAAAGAAGCCATGCAGTGAAGATGACGGAGATTGACTGTCTTGTTTGTAGTCAGGTACATCATACACTGTTGATTTTATATGCTTACCCAATTTAATAGTTTTATGGAATTTCTTTGCCTTTGCTCCAGGAGCCATGGCCTTGTAGTCTTTACTGAGAGCTCGGGTGAAGTGCGCATCCACCATGCTCTTGGTGTCCCCCTGGAAATAAGTCAGGATGACACACCGAGAATGCTCCTCCACCTTCACAGCTCTCTGAGTTTCTGTTCTATCCTCCATGGGTCAGTCGTGACTGAAAACAGTGTAAACAAGACTCAAAACAAGACTCAAAACAAACAAAACTCTTCTTAGTTGGATTAAATTCCCTCCTTATCTGTTTATCAGAGGTATTTTCAATTTAATTTGCCCTGGATGATTCACAGTTTCCCATAAACTGTCCAAACATTTTAGACAAACACAAACAGTTAGGGTACAGAGGACACAATTTATTTCATAATAAATTTTATGACTCAGAAATTTTGTCTTTCAGTAACATCTTACAGCCACAGTGCACAGGAACCTCCTCAGTGGAAAGTGAGTTTGTATAATAAGCTTAGAGATAACAACATTTGCATGAATTTACTTTGTAATCTGTGAAAAATGAGCAGTGGCATCTGGTTAGATATTTAAACATCCAAAAATAAGAAATAATATATATATATGAGGGTTTGCACAGGATGTTTGAATGAGTTACTGAAATGAGTTACGAATGTTTTCTTTTGGGGGGGGGGGCATTTCATCAACCACTGGAATTAAAATCTACATGTATACGAAGCAGTGAACATGTAGTCAGATAAAGACAATGTTTCAAACCTGTTAACTTCTAACCTGACTTGTGAATCAAGAACCAAATGATTGCATCGTTATTGTTTCATGTACACATTCATATTTTAAGGAACTAGCTTCCCTTACCTGACCTGATGATTGACCAAAGATAACCGGGGAGTACGTCCTTGCATTGACTGGTTCATCAAAGCATAGATGAGCAGCGTCCAGAATTGTTGGAGAAAATGTCACCTGGTTTCAGCTTAAACATCAGAGTCATCGATTAGATTCGAAGACCTGACATCAGTTGCCTTTCCTTTCTTCCTTTACACTACAAAACATTTCACTCAAAGATCCTTCAAACTCACTTGATGTGTTGAACTGGGAGGGCGTGTGATGGGCAAAGACAGCTATGAACAGAATGCCATCCAGCAAGTTCCTCCAGAACATGAAGGACACATTATTAAAACATTCCTCTCTCTAAAAGTTGTAGACAGTTTTGGTTATATAAAATCAACATCATGGGTATTAGAGTGTAAAGTAAAACATCTTTAGCTGTAATATAATATATAACATGAACATGTTACATCATACAGGTTTTTACGAATTACACGCATCAGGTTTTAGCACTTGTTGTAGAAAAAACACCTGAAGAGCCAATGACCTCTTCATGGCTTCCATGGTTTACTTGTGGATTCTAAAAGTAACCTTTGGCATCTTTTTATACTTACTGTGATGATAACAGATCACACTGTGTTTCACAACAAAGTGGCTTTTTATCATTTAGAATATTTAAACATTCAGTCTGATGTAAAATAAAGGCCAACGTTTCTTTTTTTACAGGTCTTAAAAGTAAAATTCATGATGATTGAAAGTGATTTAGCTGCTTCAGTTTCGGGGTCCTGGTGTTGTTCCTGCTGTCACGTTGTCATATTTGAAGGGAACACTTAAATAGGAACGGATATGTGTTATTTTAATCATCTAGATTAAGGATGGTATTTTAAAAAATCCTCAAAGGATATAAAAGGAGAAAAAGAAACCTTGTGTCTTAAGAAAAATAAATAAAATAAATTGAGAGCAACTGTACAGATAGATGGCATAACGTCTTACAAATGACAAAAACACCTTTGATTTCAGATATTGTTCTTTTCATTCTGTTTCCCTTAAATGGACATCTCTTATAACTTCCACCTCCATTTAATAATTACATGACTATTTTTACATATATAATCCAAGCAACAGCCATTCAGTTTTACACTAAAAGTCGTCCAACAGAGATGGAGCTGTTTATTCTTGCATCGTTTGCTGAATTGGCTTTCTGACCTCTGACCTGGCAACAGTATGTCTCTACAATTAATTGGTACTTGTTGCTAATGTAATGCTGGCTACCTACTTAGGTTAGCAAATTCAAAATTAAGAAAACTACAGACAACAAACAAAAAGTGCAGTCAGTCAGCTTTACTTTGAGTGTTTCAGTGGGTGTATTTAATTAGCAGAAAAAGACCTGCAGCCCAGGTACAAATACAATGCATAAGGGTTATAATTGCATATGTTTGCTGGTTCTATGAATTCTTCAATGTGTATCCACTGCCACACAGGGTCCCCAAACTTATTCTGCTTAGGGCCCCAGATGTACAGGGCCGGCCCAGCTGGGAGGAAGAGCAATACAGAATGACACACACAGAGGCCACTCATGCCCCCTGGTGGTGGTGATTTGGTGCTGATCCTGTGGAAGAGTCGGAGACCTTCCTGATGGTGGACGTGTCGTCAGAAGCAACTGAGTCAGAGTTAACAAGATTCTTCTTTTTGTTGCGACTACCCACTGTTATGGAGCGGCTCCAGTCTGACACACAGGGAGCAGAAAAGAGAAAACAATGTGTCATACACTGTTGAAGTACTTCTCTCCACCATGGGGCATTATACTGTAATACCATATGACCACCAGCATTGCTCTGCTTTACAACAGGTACCTGAGTTATCACTGAGTCTGAAACGTCCACAGCACAAGTGGATTCTCCACTGTTTCCTCACATTTTCCTTCATCAAACAGTGGAACAAAAAAACAAAGAAACCTGGGACACAAGAGCAGAAATAGTAGACAGTCTTCGGTCATTTTATCACTTATTTTTTATATATATAGAAGCATAGCAGTTCTGTTATTATTTTTTGTGTTTCTTTAAGCACTTGCTTTTATTTCATAGTTTCATGATAATATATTACTTTTAACAACACGCTTCAAAGTGCAGATTTCTCCACATTTTGTCAAAAAAAACAACAACTCATAATCACATGCTGCTATATGAGTTAAAGAAAAAGGATTTTATAACCAAGGTCATAAATTGTAAATGCGTGTAAAGCATGGTGATAAATGTCCAAACAATCATGTGAACAACATGACATGTGAACAAATTAGAAGAAAGATTTAAAAAAAAACAAAAAAACCTGAGTCTAAACATTTTCAATTTAATAATGACTACAGCTCATATTTACCCTGGAAAGTGTTGAAGATGGAGAACAGGTACATCAGGACCACTTTGCCTGGCCCAAAGGAAAACAAGCCCATTGACCACGTCAGGCCTAACAGGACAGTGAGACTAGCCACTGCCCTCAAGTCCTGCAGAGAGCTGCGGCTGTTTGCTGAGGACTTATTGGCCCCCATCTGTCTGATCTGAATCAGAACCACGATGAAGACAGAGATGTTGCACAACAGGATCAGAAGAACAAATGCCACCACCGTCACATAGAAGAAGACGTCATTCTGCAGCCAACAGCTGGAGGTAGGAAGACAGTCATGTAATTTACACTGGGATTTATGATGAATGCCATCAACTATATTTCTTCTTTGTCTTTGTTTTTTTTTTTTTGCTTGTTGTTGTTTGATGAAATTTTTTCAATATCCATGGTAGATTTTTATCACACAATTTAGACATGATGCTCTCAAAACAGAGATGGCCTTTTCTGATTTCCACTAAAGCCCAGTGCTTGTTCTTACAATTGGTCAGGGGATTGAAGCATGACTGCAGCCTCCTCAGCCACAGTGTTGCCGTAGGCATCTTTATCTATAGCCAGCACCAGGCTGACTATGACCAGAGGAATACCTGTGAAAACACACACAAAAACCTCTGATTCATTCTGCTCACTCAGATCAGACTAAGCTATTCCCACACTGTGAAAGAAATAAAATTCCTAAATATTTTTATATTTTAATAAGAAAAAATGCAAATCAGCAATTTTAAAAACTTAAATCCCCAAACTCACTGTTCATGTCAAACTCTTGGATCATGTCAAACTCCATGGTTATGCTTTATTTTATAGGTCTATAAGTTCCTAATAATTTCCAAAAGCTTCCTGAAAAGAACTATGTCATTTGTAAAGTGTGGGTAAAATAGACATTGTTGTATTTGTACACTTCAGGTCAATGAAATTTAAAATGTATTTCTATTGTATAACGCAGAGAGTCTTAACTGAAAATGCATACATGTGAAACTTCTCTACAGGCAAGGATAAAGAGTAACATTGGTAACGATAAATGAGTGATGAATAAAGTAACTTGTGTGTAAGTGAAGCTCTTATTTCAAGGACATTCCTCCTTTCCCTATAATTAGTACTAAATTAAATAGCTATTTTCAGGATACTTATAACTGATATTATTGGGAAATTATTCCGAAGTCATAAAACACAGTCCCCATCCCAATCAGCCAATCAAAGCCAACGGACCCTGGACTTTTGCTTCTTCAGTAGGAGTTCTCTCTTACCCCATCCTACAGCGCAGAACTTGAGAATGTAAGAAGGAACATAGATGTTGAAGACTTTGACCAGGGCGAGGTACATGTGCACAGCCTCCAGGCCCATCCAGGTGAAAGAAGCCAGCATGAAGTAGTGCAGCGATGCAGCAGTAGCGATGCACAGACCATAGTTGGAGAAGGATGAGAGCCAAGCATCAAGAAGGAAGATCATGTTCAAGCCCAGCAGGGCAGCTGACAGGTTGATGAGGATCTTAGATGGGTAGTCCCGACGCAGCTTCCTGAAGCGTACGAGATAAAGATTGAGAGACTCAGTGATAGAAAGATAAATGAAAAGTCTTATTAGAAGCTTCAAGGTTTTATGACCACTATTTGTAGTATTTTAATTATAATTAACAAATACTAGTTTTTTTCTGGAGTGTCATGATGATTTCAAGATTTTGCTCATATATCAATATATATACAATCCTCCTCCAGCCTCTTTTACGATGGGTTTCAATATGATAAGTCACTACGTTAGTGTCATTGTATGTGACTTACTCAAATGCGAGGTAGCTGATTAGAGTGATGCCCAGAAAGATGGAGGATATACCACAACCAAGATATGAAATCACAGTCAGAATCTTACTGTCGGCCTCACCGATGGGGGTTCTAGACACATCCTGAAACACAATATACCGACAGGGCGAAACTTATATTTATAATCAATATTTGTCAAATTTTAACACATCCAATATTAGCATCCCCTGGTGGTAGTATAAAATAAAAGACATTATGGCAAGCAGCAGTTCAAGCTGTCATCTTGCATCAATGGCAGAAAAAAAGCAGTAACCAACTGACTACACTGTACACATTATGTTGGCGCTTGAGGAGGTTGTTTGTTCCCTGGTTTAATTTATAAAAAGCCGACCAATGACTCACCAGGAGCACAGCGAAATGTGTGAGGTGATCACAGTGACAGCTGGTCTGATAAAAAGAAACACTGTGGGTTTCACACCCTTTGTTGTTCCAACCACCCTGCCCACCTGACACACACACACACACACACACACACACACACACACACACACACACACCGATTAAAAACACACACAATGTTTGATTATAGACTCAGAAGGTTAGGGTCCTTTACTGATTCATGTCACTGGTTCCCTATAGATATAAAATGTATAAAATACTTAATGCTCAACTCACTGTTCTTCAGGAAATCCCAAAACATACATTCTACATTGTCTTCTGGCTGTAAAAAAAAAAAAAAAAAAGAAGAAAAAAATTGAAGTGAGTCAATTTCAAAACCTTTCTTCTTACTGATGAACTGAGCAGCACAGTAGAGTATAGATACAGTAATTTCCCACCTGTTTGGGTGTTAGATGACTGAGGGTCACCACCACTCGATCCTTCAGGTTCCTGACATGACTGTTATTGATACTGGCAGATACTATATAGGAGTTCAATGTCCAGCTGCTCTCTGTTGAATTGGTTGTATATGGGTCCTGGTAAAAGTTAAGTAATGGTTACATTAGCTGTGGCAGGAATATAAATTACAGTACATAAGCAGTGGTAGCAATGTTGTATTCAGGTCATTGATCAATAAAATATGCTACAGAGAGAGCAGATTTGTCATATTTAAAGTACAGATTTATTTAATTTAAGTTATGGTTTTAACAGAAAATACAATCAGTATAATACTATATTTGTTGGTATAATTTTACATTTTACATCAAATATGCTTATTCACTTTCTTGCTGAAAGTTAGATGGAAAGACCAATGCCACTCTCGTGTGTGTGCGGCTAATGTGAAGTTATCCAGCCTGCAACCGGTTAGCTTAGCTAGCTTAGCTTAGCATAGAGACCAGAAACAGGGGGAAACAGCTAGCCTGGATCTGTCCAAAGGTAACAAAATCTACCCGTTGTATCTTATTTGTTGAATCAAGTTTTTCATTAGATACCTGACAACCATAGGAAGTCATTGCACCCCGATAAGAAATAGTCACACCCACATAACCTCCTGTAAAACCAAAAATTAAAGTGAAAAATGTTTCACTTTGGTTTTTAGAGAAAGGTTAAACAAACCTTTTATAATGCATCAATTATTGAGCTTAAGAGGTGCTGGCATGTGGATTTTGTTACCTTCAGACAGAGCCAAGCTGGTTGTTTTCCCCTGTCTCCAGTCTTTATGCTAAGCTACATTAACCCACCTCCTGGCTATAGTTTCATGTATATCCCGAGCAACGGTATCAATCCTCTCATCTAACTTCAGGAAAAAAAAGTGAATACTCTTCCAACTGTTGAATTAAAATGTCACAGTCATAAGCATAATGTGGTCTACATATAATGTTGTAGTTTCCTCAGTCTTTCTCTCAAAGAAGAGGAAGTAAAAGACAATAACAAATGAACAAGATGTCAAACAATAACAAAAGAAGAGTTAAATGAGGGTACCTGAAAAAGATCATCTGTCCCATAGAACTGAAACTGAACTCGAGTTGTATTTCCTTTAAAAAAGTTGTGGAGCGCAGAGGGCAGAGAGATAGTTGCATTTGTGTCTGGGAGTGGTTTACTGACAAAGCTCTGGTTTACAAAAGTCTGAAAAACAAAAATAATAATTCTGATTATAATAATTGGGAATCACACTGCCACATGGTATTTATAACATTTGTCTCCTCTGTCAAAAATGGTGTGTCAAATCTAAATCTGGAAATGTAAGCTGCTTTTTGTTGACTACCAGGTTTTCCATTTTTGTCATTTGCTTCCTCATTAAAGTTTAATGTGCCATGAAAGCTTGAAGCAACGTCTGTTCATTAACACAATTTCCCTATTGTCCAAGGACATTAATGCAACATAAGTTGTCCTCAAATGGCCAGGTGGAACAAGATCTCACCTTTGCAGTTCACATATACAGCTCATTAGTAAAATTTGTGTCATCACATTCATAATGTCTTACATTTGGAATCAGGAGAGATGAATCGAAGGAGACGCCAAAGGTGAGGCCAGTGAATCCATCTGCATCTGTGTTGACCATGGAAAGTGCCAGTGAGGGAGCTGTTAAAGTTACAGATTCACCTAGGAAGTCCATTTTGTTCCCCATTTTATCTGTAAGATTAAGGACACTGTTGCCAGGGACAACAGACAGAAAGATTAACAAGAAAATAAGTGTAGAAAAGAAAAATCTTGCATACGAGTTTGGAAGTCTTTGTTCATATTTACTGACACAAACCAGACACCCACTTCCCTCTATACTTACATGTTAGCCACTGGTGTGACATTGGTTTTGGAAAGCAGGATATCACCAATCATAGTGAGAATGTTAGCACCAACAGCAGGTTTGATGATGCTGATATCAACCACTTCATTGAGCTTATCCACCACTGAATTCAGCTCAGAGGAAGAGAGCTCTGCACATTCACCTAACTGGATATCCACAAGGTTCTGAATTATGTCCACAACCTCAGCTGCGTTACCTAGAAATCAATAATGTCATTAATTCATTTTGTTGTGTTTTGCCATGTTGCCATGTTATGGTTTTATTTAGATGCAAGAATAAAAAATTTAGGAGTTTAGTAGCTTTTAATAGCTTTGGTAAATGCTGTTTCAGAAAGTGCAATTTCTTTTTATACAGTAAGCTATTATAAGTAATGGTAATTAACCAGACTGTATGTGACTAATGCTCTTACCAGTGGTGACTGTGATATTGTCAATGTCTGACATGGTCACCATTTGGTTGCAGTTTGTCATATCAGGCTTGGCCCAGCTGGTCATGTCAGTTTCAATGTTTAACTTACTGAAAAGAGAGAAGAATCAGAGGGAACAGAAATAAAAGAGGCAGAAGACAATAGATATTCTCTCTGGTCCGTCTCCGATTCCAGTTAAATAGATCAAAGTTGTCTGATAAAGTACACTCTCTTCAGCTTGTGAGATCATAGCCAGGTTCCAACAAGGGTGGTAGAAAATAAAAGACACCTGTTAACTGTGGATGATTGTCTTAATAATCATCAACCCAGTGTTACACAAAGAGACCATAAAACTGATTACCCATATTACTCAGTCATTGCCCGTTGAGTAATATTTGTATCAAATGATGTAAAGAAGATTGAAGTCCTTCATTACACTAATAATTCACTTATAGGAAATTGATTTTCGCCTGAGCTGCAGGCTGGCAGGGATCCATGAGCAATACGTGTGTTGGGTCAGAGCTTGTGTGCACAGTGGGAGGACTGGTTGGAACACAACATTGTAATTGAGGGAATTTTCTTGTCTTGCTGAGCTGTCTCTATGGAAACAGATTGTTCTGAGGAAGATGAACAGGATCTGTACAAGTAAATAAAGCAATACACAATAAAATCCCCACTTTCTCCCCATAGTTCATCACCAGGATGAATATCAAGCCAGATGACTCACTCTCAGGCTGGTGTGAATAACATCTTGAATATTATTTCACTTTGTCTCAATTATAAACCAAGATATGCTTTATTATTATATGAAAGACATAACGGAGTCCTTTGATTATAAACATGATAAGCAGTGCTTATAAAGAAGACTGGTTTTTGATGTGTTTAGGTCATAATTTTGCAAAGTGGCAATTAAATTTTCATTGTCTCTGGTCAAATACTAAATCCACTGGGTAAAAGGAAATTAATGTCTTACCAAAGCCTGTAAGCGCTTTGTAATTTTGGTTTTTTACATCTCATTTCTTGGTTGACTTGTGGAAATGCCTCAGGCCAAATATATATTCCATAGATTGTTGAAGTAGTTTCTTCCAAACAATTTCCTGGCACTGAAAAAGAAAAAAAAATTTAATGTGGATATGTTCCTTAACTTAACGTATCTTTCTCTTCTTATTTGTATTAGAAATTCATCTTACTTATGTGCTTGATCGACACATCCATCGCTTGAATAACAATGGAGCCATTTTCATACTTTGATGTCAATGAAGCATTTATGAAAATGATCATCTCTGCAACACTGTTAATGTTGTACTCCTGAATATGGAAGCTACAGTAATATCTGTCAATGAAACATACGATTAGGGGTAACAACAGCACTGGTTTTGAATGAAATGCAACTGAAGTTGTATACATTATGACAAAACAGGCAGCACAATTAGCTTTTAGTACAATTATTATTTTCTTTTTTTAGTCACCTACTGTTTTTGCTGGTCATGGGAAGTCTAAGGGAAGAGACACCAGAGAGATGATGAATTGTAAATATCAGCTGTTACAGTGGTAAGAGATATTATTCCTGGCATTAACCAGAGCTTGCAACTTGCTGAGCTGAAGGTCATACTCACTGTCTGTTCATCATTTTCCTCCATGTTCCTATGAAATATCACGATGAATATGAACAAACCAGAGCTTTCATATAACAAATATAAAAAATTGTATACAAATTATGCACCAATAAAATATTCCCATGCCACCCACCTGCCAACATTCTCCTTTATGATGAGATTCAGCACAAGCATGGTGTCATTCAGTGCTTCTTTCACCTAATGCCAGAACATGACAAGTCAGTGTAATCACAGTAAAAAATGTTTTCAAGTACAATAGTGTGAGTCTCTTACCCATTTTTCAATGGCATCCTTTGGGTTTGAAGGGCTGCCGGTCATACTTAAGGTCGTATTAACTCTAAAGAATGTATCAGGTCCAACTGCAGGGATGAAAAGAGACATGGCTGGTGTATTTTGTCACTATAATGACGGAATTTAAAGGGCATTATGTTCACGGTTATTATGGTTATGATTCAGGTTTCTAAAAATTAGGTGCAACCCCTTGAAGTTTTCATTTATGATGTGAAATAAGTGCTCTTAACGCTGAACCACCTCTTGCTTCCCAGCTCAGCTTGGCACCTTTTCTCCTCTCCATTCTTATTGCTGCTGTTTGCATTTGCTTTTATCACACTGACTGTTTATTTTACTCTGTTTTCTGTGTACATCACCAGCAAATATATTTGATTTGATTCTTGTTGTGTTTTTATTGTTTGATTTTTTCATGCAAAAATTTAAGAGTCTCCACTTGTGTGACAGAACAGAAAAACAAGAAGCTGCATAAACAGAATTATTTATTCAAGCTGTTTGGTGAACTGACCGGCAGTCTCATTTAGATCTAAAGGCTCTCCTGTCGTTGACATGTTAGCGGGACGAGCTGGCGCGCTTTGAGTTGGACCTGTTCCTGTGAATTAAATGACTTGATTTACAAGAAAATCCCCCAATAAAACAGCACGAGCAAACTGTTTTGCAGACTTGGCTGCTCCAGATTAGGAAAATAAATTATTCCTATCATTGTAGATGACCCAGTCACTACATGAAGATGTTTTATTCTTTCTTGCTTGCTCACCTGATGTAGTAACACCAGTGCTGACAGTCATCGGTTGTTCTGTCACCGGAGGGAACAACTCTGAAAGAAACAAATGAAATCATTAATTACAAAAGAACATTCAAATAAAGATTTAAATTGAAAATAGCATGATGTCTGACGGAAATCAAATTATTTTGATTTTCTTATAATGAATAGATACTAATTTCTTGTCATCTGTTGGGTATTTTTAGAAAAACAGAAATGTGCTCACATTCTTTATTATACTCCCTGTTTCCATTAATGTGTATATGCAACATCCTTTTAATTCAGCCACTTAACAGTTACATTGAAAGTGCATGGTAAATTGAATCACTTTAATGGATTTGGTAATGAGCACGCCTCAACATTTCCAGCCAAATCCAGAGTCTGCTTTGTGTCTATAAAGCTGAACAAATATTAAGCAATTATGTAGGTAAATACACTTCATAAAGGTCAACATCATGTGACATGAACATAAATCCTTTTTAAAGGCAATAATCGTGGTCATAAAAATATGTGTTCTGTTAATCTGTTCCCTAAAGCCCCCAAACACAACACTGTGTATGTGTATGTGTATGTGTATGTGTATGTGTATGTGTATGTGTATGTGTATGTGTATGTGTATGTGTATGTGTATGTGTATGTAAGACATGGCCTGAAATGTGCTGTACAGACGATACGTACCCACAGGAAGTATGCTGATGCTATTAGGGTCAGCCGTCAGGTTGAGGAAGTTGTAGGAGAAGGTCAAAATCAGCAGTGCAGTAATATCTGCCTGAACCGCTTCTACATTAGCAGCAGGATCCACATTCACATGGACTTCACAGCTGAAACTGGGGGTAAACCACAAAAAGCATGAGATGAATCTACATGTCAACTGTACTACACCTTTTGGGTAACATTTGCCTTTGTCCAACTTCTCTTGTGCCATGCAGCCCTCCTGTACTGCAATTATTGTCTTCCTTTTCAAGTCATTAAGTTTTTGTAGGTCTTGAAATTCGTCTTACCACTTGTCACAGATGGGGTCCGATGCTGCTTTTGATCCCTGAAGACACAAATATCTTCATTAAACGGTTGTGTGATTTAACTTACTCAATGACGGCTGCTTATTCTTAATATAATTCACAGCCACCCTGCCTTGGAACTGACCTCAGTACTCTCGTACGTCATTCATTTCCTTGGAAAATAACATTGTCTCAATCTAAAAAAAAAAAGTCTTACATCTGTTCTCTAACCAGCTGGTATTTGAGGATATTGCTGCTTCTTTCGATGGAAAATCTAAATTGAGGCCTCTTAATAGTGCTGTACCTGATGTTGTTGTACATGTAGACCAGCAGAATTATTAACCCCATGGCAGGAATGGCTGTATGGAAACACAGATAACATAAATTACAGACAGGAGTGCGGCCGAGGATTGCAGGCATGTTCAGAGTATACACTACACTGAGCCTTATACTGCACCAACCGCCTCTTGTCATGCACTGCCAATACACACACACAACTGCCATATGAGCTATTTACTAATGTATTGTAATGATATAGTATGTTAATAGCATAACACTCACAGGAGGCATATTTTGCACTGAGTACTTTTACTTTTGATACTTTAAGAATATTTTGCCAAAAAGACTTGCATGCTTTTATTGAAATGATATTTTCAATACAGGACTTGTACTTTGACTTATTTCTATACTGCAGCATTGCTACTTTTACCCACATGAATGATCTGAATACTTCCTCTACCAGTGTCAGCTGAGAGGAGTGTGTTGCCAACAAAGGTTGCATTACCTTGGAGATGACACATAGATGTCATCGACAGAAATGTTGCGAGGGAAAACGCTCTCCAGCTGATGAGAGACAACAACAAAGGTAGATTAGTTTGAAGGGCAAATCTGACTGTTCAGAGCCAATGGTTACCAAATTTCAGTGTCATGTTCAGCTGATTCTTCATACCCAACTTCTTGTGACTACTTCCGGTGAGACTGAACAGTTTCGAGGCTCCATAGATTGAACTATCAATGTCCACATTTTGATTTTGTAGCGTGACCATGCTAAAAAAAAACCAAAAGAAACAAAAAGAAAATATGCAACATTTCCAAAGAAATATTTTGACCTATCAACAGGTTTTTGAACCAGCTCCTGCTGAACTCAGGAATGTTTGGTTCACCTTTTCTTTGACCTTAAACTGCAGTTACTGTGCAGCAAAGTGTATTATTTGGGCAGTCATTCAACTCTCACCTACAATGGATTGACTTGTTATGTGAATAGGTGAGAGGAAACTCTTTGATTCATTTAGACAGCTCTAAGTCGATAACTATGAAATTTAATAGAGAGATATCGTATTGTATTTACCACAATGTAGGCTGTTGTCAGGCTTTGGAGGGCAGCTGTGTTTCCACTGCCGCAGGTCCCAGCTCACCACATCTCCATCTGCACAGCTATGGCTCTTCAGCTCCTCACCGCTCCATTCTCTGGACCATATCCTGAACAGACCAATCTCACCAAGCAACTCATTCGAAGTCTCTGGCCGCACTTTACCATCTGCATCTACATAATGAGAAACCCCCAGAGTGAGTGTGCCGTTTGGGGCCAGTCGTTGAGGCAGGCTGGGATTCAGAGGGGCCTCAAGCATAATGGTTCCATTAATGTAGGTCCTCAGCCTCCGAGCTCGGCCTGACCAGGTGAGACAGACGGAGGACCATTCATTCGATTTTAGTTCCCACGGCAGATGCTTTTCATTTCCAAACAGCCACACTTTCAGCTGTGCGTCTTTGCCCTGAAGTCCCAACTCTATGTTTCTACCTCCCGGTGCTTTGTAGGCAAATCCTGTCCACTCTGTTAAAACGTTGTGGCGTAAGAGCATGCATACACTCAGCTCCTTAAGGGCCGGTACCACAACATCTGGTTGTAGCTGCCACAAGCACGGACGGCCAGTGAAATGCACTTTCTTACCCCACAGGCTGGCACCAGCAGAGGCAGCTGACATGACACATAGGAAGAAAAGACACAGACAGATGAAGACTTACACTTCAGGTTTTTAACCATAACGATGCTGAAAGTTGTATGAGATCACACTTAAAAAAGAGCCAGACAGCCATAATGTGTGCCATCAAACAGTCAGTCATTCTCGCTTTCTTTCAGTTCAGTTCAGATCTTAATTGTCCCTTAAGTAGCAGTGAAATCACATTAACACCATAAAAAGGCAGTGAGACAGCTGAGAACATTAAAAGTTTACACACTGTATTTACAGCTATTATTGTGTGATATGATTGTACTGCTTTCAACACGGTCAAGTGCTTTAAAATCATTCTGAAATCAGTCTGAAGTCTTACTTACTCAGAAGACACACTGATATCTGTACACACAGACAGACTACTAGAGGAGACAGGGAGTTCATGGCAGCAACCAAAATACAGGGCTTTCCGTGTCAGTCAAGTGGTCATCTGCTGAAAGGTGGCAACAATTGAAAGAATAGTTTTCATTTGCGTTCACTATGAAGAAATGACACAATGATTAGGGTTATATCTCTGTGGCTAAGTAAATAACTGAGACTTACCATGCTCTTCTCTTTGCAATGGTCAAATCCAAAAGCTATTCTGTGAGATATTAAGCAATCAACACCAGTTCATGAGAAGCTGGCAGGCTGGTGTCACTTTATTTCTGTATAAGAAGACCTCTACGCCCTCTCCCTTTAGTTCTGTGAGTTACTCATTAATCACCGGCAATAAACATACCAAGCAAGCAAGATAACATTAAAACCTTGACACTGTGAAACCTTTGCAAAAGTGAATTTCAAAATTCTCTCATGAACACGTTTTACTTCTTTGTGCTCAGTTTGAATGTGCCTGGTATCAGTGTAATAGTTTTTAGTGTGAGTTTTAATGCGAATAAGTTTCCTAACACTAAGTTTAATGAATGAGGACTGATGTTGAGAAATAGTTTGACTTGACACACACCCTTGTTGGTGTACATGTTGATGACACAGATGCACTCTACATAACAAGCTTTATATTCAGGGTTGTTATGTAAGCTTCCTTTTTTTAATCCCTTCTACATGGGGATGGATGCTTCTGATAAATTATTCTAATGAACACCGATGCCGTACGGCGGCTAAAAGCAGAAGATGGCATGATTTGTCATATAAACATAAAACGTCATCTACATAGACTGCAATTGCTTCTACAAATGCAGCTCACAACAAAAAGACCACAGGTTTGTGTGAGTGTGAGTGTAAGCGTGTGTGTTCTATACGTCAGGCGCTGTTGTAAATTTTCTGCAAACATTAACAGAGTAATATTCTTGTGGTGATATGTGCTCAAACAAATCTAATTGGCTTTCCTGTGTGATGTATGATGTGCATGTCTGCCTTGTTCTCAGCTGTATAGACGTGAAAGTAAGTCCATACTATAGCTATCCTTTAACCCTAAACAATTTAAACAGTCAATGTATGTTAATAACTCCACCTTTTTATACCTATAATATCCTGTATGGTGGGTGGGTGGTAAAATTAGTTTTTTTTTGTCAGTTTTATGGCTCCATGCTACCACAAAGTGGTCAAACAGTATATTGCAGTTATAGCATTAACTAAATCAGATTTACAAATAGGTCTCACCTTCAGCTTGTCTCTCCTCAATGGAGCCAGTAAGAGGACAAAACAATGGTGGTAATAGTATTAAAGATTTTATTTCAGTCTGCACACACACTCACTCACACAGTGTATCTTTGTTGGAAACAGGTTTGTTAACAAGGGTCTCATTCATGCATTTTAATTACCTTCCCTCCTCCTCCTCCTTCCCTCCCTGTCTGAGAAGCCGTTGCCCAAACAGGGGGGGGCGGTCTCCGGAGGGAATGTGAGAAGACCAGGTGTGACGTGAGGTGCCCAGGTGGGAGACCTGAAAGTCTCCTATTCATCGGCCCATTGGTGGATACCCAGGTTGGGAACCTCTCTTGCGTCACACATGATGTAGAATGAGGGGGATTCCAAAAGATCTTTCCCATCACTGTCTGCCCCATAGCTGAATGGGGAGAAGCTTGAAGGGAGGTACACCACACTGATACTGGTGGAGGCTGCAAATTTGAGATTAGTCTATGAGCAATACACTGCTAATATAGATCAGTTGAAATTTTTATTGCTCTGCTACTTTGGCCTCTGAAAATTGTGTTGAGAATTGTTGTGTGAGTGTTTTGGTATCAGCTGTTTATATATTTGTGTAATTTTCCTCACAGTATCGGAGCGAAGTTTGACAGATAAAGTGTTGCCAAATTTTCAAATTGCGTTCAAATAGGATACATATGATTTTTTAGGGCGGCAATTGAACTGTAGCAAGGAAGTGGGTTCTCCTTAGAGAAGGACCATGGACAGTTTGCCAGTAAGGGTTTGTCTCTATGCTGCCCTGCTTACGGTAAGTCTGACCCTCAAGAAGTTTTCTATTACAGATTTATAAAACTTTGACTATGTGATGCTACATTCCTTCAAGGACTCTATTATACTTGTACTATACTTGAGTATTTGCATTTCGTGCTACTTTCCTCTCTATACTGCATTGCATTTCAGATGGAAAGATTGTACTTTGTTTGTACTTATGTTTGCTTTGCTACATTTATTTGATATCTGAGGTCAATATATTACATATTAAGATTTTACACTAAAAACATGTGTTAAATTTATAAAATATAAAATCTTGAGTAATTTTAGTCCCATTCAGTCCTTAAAGTCTTACAGTATTTTCTTAAGAATAAAAGTTAATCTGCTGTTGCTATAATAATATTCAAACCTGTTTTCAATGCATGTCAATTTATGTTTTAAGTATGTTTTAATGTCATTTATCATAATTGTAGGGCAGCAATAGGCAAATTTTATTCTTTCATATTTCAAGACACTACAGACTCAGTTGACAGACATTTTTTAAAGAATCTGATTTGAACTAAATTAATAGTTTCACTTATCTTTAGAAATAAGGTTCTATCTTTAGAAATAATATAACATATAATAAAATACCACATATTACCACATAACCACAGGTCTATTACTTGGACTTAACTGTGTTAATAGTGAGGTCTGAGTCTGAATACTTCTCCCAGCACTGATATTTTAAAATTTGTGGTATTTCCTCAGCTACAGTGTGTGCAGTTGCAATCTGAGCAGAGCTGTGATCCGACTGAGTTCTTACTTCCTAATAGCACCTGTGTTGCCTGCCCTGTATGTGGGCCTGGAGAGCAGCTCTCACAGGTAACACGTTTAACACATTACTGTGGTAGCACCATTTTCCCTTTCTTTGCCTGTCTTGCTACTTGTCTCCAAGAATATTTGTCCATCATTCTCAGGACTGTGGCTTTGGAGATGGTGGTGAAGGAGTGTGTATTCTGTGTGAGGAAGGGAAGTTCAGCTCCAATACAGGTGTGGATCCATGCAGAAGATGCACCCAGTGCAATCTGCTGAACCGCCTGGAGAAGAGAGCATGCTCGCCAACCAATGATGTCCTATGTGGGCAGTGCCTCCCAGGGTGAGCTGCGCCCACAGTGCCAGCTTTAACACCCATCACCTGCTGAGTGCTAGCATTTTGTTTCTGTGTTAAGTGTATGAATGTGGTTGTGTGTACAGGTACTATGAACTCAGGAGCTTGACTGGGGAAGTGGAGCCGCCCTGTGTGCCTTGTTACGGCCATGACAAAGTCCATAAAGAGTGTTTGCTTTTCACAGCTCAAGGCTCTAAAGCAAGTAAGACCCAGAGACAAACCATGGACCAATTGACAGTACAATGTTAAACTTGTATAAATAGTTTTATTGACTGGTGATTTTCCAGAAATTTTGTCAAGGAAAAGTTATGAGTATCACTCTCTGACAGAGAGTACCGTCACTGTCCCTAGGGGAAAGAAGAAAGAACCTGAAGAGAAGAGTGAGTAGCCCTGTGGATTTTCATGAACATTTTTTCATTGCTTGTATTCAATTTGACTCAAAGGATTTTTTTGTTTAATCAAGGAGTAAAAGAGGAAACATTTTCAATGGTCCTGATTGGTTCTGCAACAGTGTCCTCAATTTTCCTCATTGCTGTGCTGCTTTGGGCTTCCCTACTGACTGCTGAGAGATACAGTGAGTTAGACATGATTTTTCTGTTTCTTCCAATCATCTGTCTTTTGTTTGCTTCGCTAAGTTTGGATCATATACACCTGTTGCAATATTCAGAGCAGGTTCCAGAGTATTGTCATGGACCTGAGGGACGACTGTCTGCAGCAGGTCTTCAGCACACACCTTTGTCCAGCTGCACAGAGACAACAGTGAAACAAGCAGAGGCCCCTTCACAGACAACTGCTCCAGCTGAAGATTCCTCAAGGTGCTTTGCAAATGCCATGTACTGAATGATTAGTCATTCAAATTGACAACATCTGTCCCTAAGTCAATAACATCTTGTCCCAGAGGCCTAAACTCACTGAGCCATGAGAATGAGGTGCATCCTACTTCTATTGTGATTAATGTCACCACCAACATCAAGCCCTCCAGTCAGAAGAAAAAGAACATCACACAGGAGGACCAGCACAGCAGCTGCGACACCAGAGAAGAGGTAGAGTGGTCTAATATATCCTAATGTTAGGGTCCTGGCAGTAATAGAGCCAGTCAGCGAAAGATGTACATGCTTGTTTCAATTTCTGCTAAATATAATATACTGTTATTAATAAAAACTCACTGCTCCATTACCTTTGGCTTAATGTCATGTTATGTGGCAAAGCTTTGAGTCAATTCACAATTTCGCCTACATACCAGATTACTTGATTAATCCTTATGAGAGTTTATTCTGCTGTCAGATCCCAAGCTATTCCATTTTTAATGATATGAAACAGAGAAAAGCAAGTGTATTTTCAAATCACAAAAGTTGTAACTGGAAAAGATTTGAAATGATTGACATTATTAATATATATACCCTATATTGAAAAATGGATTATTTCATTATTTATCAAGTAATTAATTAATCAGAAACAGTAGTACCTTTGTCTTACCTTCTTGTCTTGCTTCTTTTCTGTGTCATTTTCAGATGGAGCAAAAACTGCAGACAATATGGGAGATGGCTCAAGGTATGAGCACCTGAGTAATACACACACACAGACAACAACAAAAAGTTTTGAGTTCTCATTTTGACCATACAAGGACCCATGAATTTTGCCTGGGGGGGGCGGGGGGCGGGGGGGGGCACCAAGCAGGTTGAGCCCTCTATGAATGAGTTTGGGACTCGTTCCTAAAGTTCATGCTGGTCATTCTGACTGTGTCCAGGTCACAGTATTGAGATGCTCGACTATGACTTGGTCCAGGACTTGTCCCTGCTGCTGGACTCTGCTGACAACAGGAACATGTTGAGGAGACTGGGGCAGTTTTTGGGTGTCCCACCTCAGGTCATCACTCATCTCCAAGGCTTCCAGGACCTCTTTCAATACCTGCGCACCTCCACCTACACACTGCTGCCCCAGCTGGCCCAGGCTGCTGCGCTCTTGCCTAATCCTGAAGTTGTTGCTAGGATACACAGAGCTGTGGTGAACAAGTGGCCACTTAGACCCTAAGGATGTGTTACCACGACTCCAACTGTTCCAGTATTTCTGACTCATTTTGCATGATAACAACCCAATATGCCTGATACTTATTGGTAAGACACAAATACAGTTTGTACTGAAATGAATTGAATTTGAGTGAAATGTGATATGACTGTAAGTTGAAATAAGGGGCATGAAAGTAATATCCAAAGGATTGACTTTTCCAACACTTTTTATCCCTTTCGTTCACTTTATGAGTTCCATCTGAATAAATCAAGAAGTTTAATAGATTAATACTAATTAAATTGTACAGTGAGAAGAAGTCATTATTTGTGCTATAAACGTTAAATAACACAATATCCAGGTCATTGCAACTGAACCCTACATGCGGTGTTACTTCCTGTTTACCGTGTAAAACAGATGAGAGGCCCTCTGGCTAAAGCATGTGAGACAGACCAGGACAGAGGATGCAGTGTTCATAGCAAGAGAAAGAACATAGAGCTCTGAGAAAATGTTATTCTCTCACTGGGAGAAGTTTGCCAACTGACCATTTTCCTTGATCTCCAGCTCTGCACTTTCCTCAGCACATTAAATCTGGTAAGGTTTCAATTTCTTTTTTAATCTCATTTTAAAAGCAAATGATGAACAAATTCTCAGAGAAGATTACAGTTTTATTTAGAACCTATTTTCTTTCTACTCTGAAAATTGGCAGAATCTCAGGAGCCTAATGAAAAACGTTTTATCATTAAAGTACTGTGTTTGTTTAACTGAACATTCCTGTTTCATGAAAGAATCATGTTTGTTTTCTTAACTGACTCAGACACTTAAGAGCTGGTGTTGACAACATCTCTTGTGGATAAACTTTCAATTTATTAATATGCAATAACCACTCCATAAACGCTAGGGGGCGCTCTTGGCTGTCATAGCAAATGTGTCTAGTATTTTTCTAGCAACTCTCTTAGATCGTATATTATAAAGATGAGTCACTACTCAGTAATGTTTGGCACGTTTTCACAACCTTTCGTCAGGTGTGGAAAATAACTAAGTACTTTTACTCAGGTTCTGTAAATCAGTATAATTTTGAGGTACTTGTCCTTAATTTGAGTATTTACATTTTATGCTACTTTCTACTTCAACTCCACTACATTTCAGATGGAAATATTGTACTTTCTACTCCATTACATTTATTTGACAGTTTTAGTTACTAGCTACTTTTAAGATGAAGATTTTATACATGGGCAATATAACAAGCTTTTAAAATACAACACATTGTTTAAGATTAACCATTGCTTTCCAACCTTTTTGGCTTCTGACAAAGATTAAAGAAAAAGTCCAAAAACTGAAAACAGATTTGCGCATCAGAACTTTGTTTTGTTTTTTTCTTCTTTCCTTTCCCGTTAATCATCTAACCCCTCAGGTTTATCTGGTGTCCTTTTATATAATACTGTATATAAAGCAGTTCAGCTAGCTACATCTCCAGCAGCTACAACGGTAACATGCTGCTTACACACTTGTGTTTCAGTATTAATCATCTAATGATGTCATTGATAATTATATATCAGTTAGAGGAAGTGTTTTTACTTTAATACTTTAACAACATTTTGCTACTAATACTTAAGTAGGATTTTTACTTGCAGTGGAGTATTTTTACATTGCTGTGTTTGTACTTTTACTTAAGTAAAGAATCTTCTTTCACCACTGGTTTCCCTTTTGTGTTGCAATGTTCTTGAAAGTGGATGTGGAAGAGTCCACATATCGAAGGCCATGATTGAAGTTTTTACTGTTAGCTTTTGATCTCATAAAAAAAAAAAACTCCACAAACAAGATTTTGATTTAAAAATGTTGTGTTTAAGTCGTTTAAAAATGTCAAACTGATTTCACATTAAAGTACTGTTTATTCGGTGTTTAAATTGTGTGGCTTTGATATATAATGTTGTTACTGTAGGATATATGCAGCTGACTACCTCCCAACAATTTCTATTCACACAGCAGCACTTTGAATGTTTTGCTCTTCCGCGCTTTGAGACGCGAAACCGATCAGAGTGAAACCTCTTACTGTCATACCCCTCTTTGATGTCCACGTCCCCGTGGTGTCCGAGTCCTACCGGCTGCGATGTGTTACGCGCCCCAGCTTTAGAAAAAAACACAGAAGGAAAACTTCATAGAAATGGCGGAGGGTGCTACGACTCTCAAGGGCTTGCGTGCCCAAATGGGTAAGAAAAATCTTGGCAGTCGTGGTTACTTTTTTAGCCCAGTTGTGCCTGGCAGGATAGTTATCACTTTGTAATGTTTGCTGGCAACTGCCGCCGCTAACCGGGTTATTTGAACGTGTCATAACGCGGCCAGTTTTTATGGCTAGTTACGTTAGCTCGCGGTCCTGTTATCTGCTGACAATGGACGCGGAAAAAAACTTGCAGCTCCACATTAAACGTTATACATTTTGATTGACTTTATCAAACCCAATTTGCTGATACTGTTACATTTCGGTAAAAGCAAAACGAGTTAGTTTAACTAACTGAGAGTAAAGTAGCTACTTGTAGTTAGCTGAAGTTGCAACGTTATATTCTGTAGCCGAGAGCCGGTTGACATATCACGACTTAACTTGCCTGGCGCCTAGCTCACATAGCTCTGTTTTAGCTTTATTTTACAGCATTTTAACCACGTTGTCAAATGAAGTGCTGGTGTATGAATGTGAAGGTGTAGATGGACAAACTCACAATGCGTTGTAAACGAAGCTAACTGCTTCGTAACTGACAAACGATAGTAGCTAGGATAACGTTGCTCATCACTAGGGGATTATTGTCAAAAGTGATCTGCTATCCCCATCAGGGAGAGTTCGGAAAGCTGTTCATGTCTCCTGTATTAACGTTGACATCGATCTGAGTTGATGCCCACTGTAGAAACCATTTGCTTGTTTTCGCTAACAACAATCAACCGGTTCATGGCAACGTTAGCAGTTTAATAGCCTCCTGCTAAATAATCATACAAAGTGGTCTTTTCTCTCCTATATCCATTGGCTACCAGTTATGCATATTTATTGACATATGGCATAACCCCCTCCACTCTCTGGGGAGGGTAACTAACAATGTCTGACCTGAATTTCAGATAAAGCTGGTTGGCCAGACACACAGAAGTCTGATAGGAGAATATGTCTGCTCTTCTTGAAATTTCTTGATGGAGTGATAAGCGAGTTTTGGTTCTACAGCCTTGTGTCACAAACATTTCTGTTAAGCAAAAGCCACATTGTAAGTCAGACTATGTAGGCCAACTGTAGCAGCAAAGTCTCTATCACTGCTTCTTATCCATGCCTCAGCTGGCCTCCTCCAGACTTAGACATGGATGTTTACTGTGTCTACATCTGCAAGCATGAATGCACAGTTTGTTATGACTCGAGCTGCAGTTGGCCTGACAGTTTTTTTTTTTTTTGGTGTTTTAGGGCAAGAAGGAGTTTTCTGCATACCCAGTGTGGGTGTAGGCATGTTTTACTCCTGGCAACAACTGGACCATATTTAGTGCTCTTCTTGTTCCTGTTTCCCTTCACTTTTCCATTCAGTATTTTCAATCTGGAATTTACATCCACCCATTTCTGTGGTTTTATGAAAATATCCACCAAGTTTAAAGTGATGTGAGATGCTGGAATCCTGGCTTTGTGAGGAATAAAAGGATGTCCTTAGCAAAGAAAAAACGCTCAGGGTTCAGTCAGAACAGAAGATTGACAATAATAAAATAATGTCAGGAATCTAGCTCATGTGCATGGTCATTTCCACAAGAATGTGAGCAAGGGGAAAATGTACCCTGCTATTATGAAGGGAGATCACACTACTGCAAGTCACACTGCAAGGTTATCCTGATCCTGGCTCAGCAATTGCTGCTGCAGAATTAAAAGCATGAGAAATATTTCTGAACTGGTTGGATTTAACCAGGGAAGGAAATGGACCAGCCACAGTGTGCATAGTGTCTTGGATCTGTCTACTTAGCCTTCTTTCTCTAGCACAAATTTGCCTTTAAATTGACTGATCAGATGTGTTACAGTCTAATTGTGTGCACACACGTGTACACACACCAAAGATTTGAATAGCAAAGCATGTTCATTTGTATAGGCTATAACTATGGTCAGTATGTCAGCAGAATAGTGTTGTTCATAAGGCAACAGTTGATGTTTATATCTATCATAATTATTTCTAGCTTTTTTGGGGGGGGGTTCTTTTATTTCACATCTGGTTATAAATTTCTCTTTAGAATCAGTTGAAAATTGGCCAGTTCTTATGTCTATTTCTGTTGTCGATGTTGGCACATTGCAGACAACTACATAATACTGGGAAGCACATTGTCTGTGCGCCACACAGTGTCAAAGTTTGATTTCTTGTGGTACTTGAATTACAGATAGCAAAAAGATCAGATGTATGGATGAACAGATATTACAATTCATGTATTTGTCATAAAATGTTGGAACAGGATGTTAGGTTTGGCATTCTTGGTTCTAACGTGTTTTGGTTCAGTAAGGCCTATAATCCAAATAATTACAGTTTTAATAGATTAATAAAGTCTAATTACAATCTATCTTTCTATCTATCTATATTAAAATCAAGTCTACTGTTTTCACAAAGACAGCTGACAATGTTTTTATCAGCAGAGATGAAGCAATAAAACTAACTGAACATTCACTGTAAGTACTTTGTTTTAGCCCCTGACACTTTATCATAAAGAAACAGATAATAGAGTGAAGATCTGTATTGATAATGGATTTGGAAATGATTAAGTCCCTTTAATGCCCATCTCTGCAAGGGAATGTAGTCCACCTGTAAGAAGAGACTCCCTATGAACCTGGGATGTGTCATTATTATCCTGCTAGTACTGCAAATAGCCAGGGCTTACCTTTGCATGAACAGGCCTCGAGTAATCCCGTAGGAGATCTAGTGTGCTTGTGTGCGTGTTTGTGAGCGTGCATCAGTGGCGTTATCTGAGGACCTGAAATCTTGAGCCACCAAGCACAATATAAGGCTGTCTCCCTGATGTGCATAAAATAAAACAAAGGAACAAATCGGTGGCTCAAGTTGTTTTTGACAGTGTATTCACTTGTTGTTATAGTTGGTATGAAATGTTCCTGCATGTCATTACTACTTAAATGTCAAATGTTTGTGCACTGATGCATTAAGGAGTGCAGCAGACACTTCCTGTGCAACAAGCTACTTAATTATATCATGCTGCAGGGCACAGTTAAGGCTGCAGTTGGAATGAGGGGCAGAGAAGGACCTGACCCACCGATTTAACTCTTACTTCTGTTATACAGAGGGAGACAGACTCACAAAATATAAGGTCTTGTTTTTAAGCCTATTTAGGGAACTAGCATTTGTTCAGTGTTAGCATTTGACTAGCAGTGTTATGATGTAGTAGTGCAGACTGGCCTGTTTCCTGTTTAGTGTTTTTGTCTGGGCTGTAGAGCCAGGCCATCACCAGACCCCTTGGTGGTCTTAACTGCTGCCATAATAACCTGGCAGCCCTCAACCCAGTCAGAATGTTATTTGAGCATCTCTTACTACCTTAAAATGCTGCATGATAATGTAATCAATATTACAATAGCTGTACAAATTTATATTGAATATATTTGTAACAATATGACGAAATGGATTAATCACAGACTAAATTACATTGCATTAAACAACTACATTACATTAAACTACATGGAGACTTTTTTTTTGATGACTCCATAATGATTGAGCAGATATGGCATGATCCACCCAACGCAGATTGGGTCTTTAACTCAAAATGTTTACCCAACACAACTATCTACACTAACTGGAGAGGTTGATTATCTAGCTCAGATTATGCCATCAATCAGTCTGGTGTATCAGTTGTTGTCAGATTAACTACTAGTGGTTGTGTCCCTCTAACCCGTTGAACTGGAGTCTGTCAAAGCAGCAGCAGTAATGTATGTTAATATGTGCAAATCTCCATAGTGATGGAGTTATGAGAGACGGTTCTTCTGATTGGCTCTTTTCATTTCTGTGAGCACACCTGGCTCTCTGTGGTCTGTTGGGAAAACACCATCTCATTAAAGCACTTTAATCAACACATGAATGAGAGTGTTCATTTTATTCCTAGGTGCTATTTCTGACTTGGTCTTATCTTGCACTTATTTCAGTAAAATCTTTGCAGCATCAGTGTTTGTGACAGAGAGGTTTGTTGAACTGGATATTACAGCTGATGAATTGCCCCTATAGAAAGAGTCTGTATGGTTTTATCTTAACAGCTTTTATCTACTCAACCCCTTTTCTTTTACTTCCCTCTAATTACCACATAATGCAATTTGCTAATGTCAGTTAGCTTGAAGTCTAATGTCTGTCATATCATGGAAGAAGGTCATACTATTTAGGATATATGGGTTCTCGACTAAATTGTTTACAGTATTTTGTACACATACTTTTTGAAATGCCCCTTAATAGATTTTATCCTGAATCTACTTATTGTGGGTTGCAATATCAGCACCATTTCATTCACAAGGTGACTTAGATAAATATACTGTATATCACACAATCCAAATGTGAAGTAATTGTTGCTTGTAAGGTGACACTTGTTTGATCCTTTGGCCTTCAAAGCTTTACCACCCTGTTCTTTTTATTTCACTATGAATCATCTCATTTCAGAGTCTGTGTCTTTCTTGACACGGGCCTAAGCATGGTTGAGAAGCACTTCATCCATCCCGAGCTGCTGTGTGGACCACTTAGCAACAGTTACCCTGTTTCACAGGGTGCTTGGCATTAGTTTTTTCAACCTTTTTTGCATATGAAGGTAGAGAAAACCAAAGAAACTCTATCCCTCTAATCTGGAGAGATAAATGTGATTTACTTTCTGGTGTGATTCGTTCATGCCCAGACATTCTCTTGAGTAAAAGATAATGTTTGTCTGTTTCTCCAGTGTTCCAAAATCTATGTGCTATCTTACACTGTCTGCTAAACATACAGTGTGATACACTGTTTACATGCATGATGGTATGCAAAATAAATACAGCACAAACTTTGTCTAACTGTGAGCTTAGGCAGGTTCTCTTGTGTGCTTTGAGTTCAGTGTATTCTTTGTGGTATTGTAGCATTGCCACCACATGTACAATCTGATTGATGGTTAATTAAATGAAAGATTTACTCTTGTGTATTGAAGAGCTGTTAAAAGTACAGTCAAATCACAGGCATTTTATCTTCATTTACCCAGCATTTGGGCTAATAACCAGTGTGGTTGATGGAGGGATTCTACTGGGAATTAGCTGCAGACTTTGACCTTTCATAATCTTTTTTGACTGGAGAGCATTGATGCTGCAGAGTACAGATAATCAGTGCATTGGTGAGTGCTTAGTGTGTTGGCTCTGTTTTTTTTTCTCTGTTCGGCTCCTGGTCACTCTGATATATGGTTTGTTACAGCTACTTCAGTGGGATTGTTTTGTCAAAATGTGTTACATAATCAGTTTTAAAGCATCTATCCAAATACCCTATTTCTTTTTTTCTTACTACCTCTTGTCTCATAAATCTTCCTTTTGTTCAGATGCGCAAACAGTATTTGACAGTCAGCTGTGGGAACAAAGCTTACCACTCAATTAATCAGTGTCACTTCATCCAAACGGCTCCTTGTCATCTCTACTTTCCTGAGAGTAAGGTAGTAGAGGGTAGTGCTTGTCAATGCCTGTGGTGGGCACAGCTTGAATGTTTTCCATACACTAAGACAACACAGTTAAAGGTATTGCTTACTTTGATGATGTCCAATAAGAGCTTTCATGTAACTTTTCACATTCACTGTGGCTGCTGCTTTTGAAGTAGTAGTATTTCTGATTGAGGTAGGAAAATGACATTATTACAGGGAGAACATATAAATTTGTCTGATTGTTGTTGTACCACAATGAATATCAATATCGCCAGAGAAAATAACATACCAACCGCTTCCAGATACTACCTATGTCAAAGAAAAGCGGATCTGAAAACAGTGCTTCTTTTTTATGTTGGAAAGAAATAATAGGAATGTAGGAGAGTGAAGCAAAGTCACAGGAGTACTGGAGACTTTGTTAGAGGGGAGCTTCTGAAGTACTAAGAGCTGAACACACATTTACAATGGTACATGTTTAGACAATGACAGTTTAGTGCAACAACAGCTCTCCTCAATAAGATGGAGATGGTCATGATTTAGTCTTGCTCCCAAGCAGGACCACAGTATTAGAAGTGCAGTTATCCCCTGCTTGTAGGGTGCATATGATCATGACTCATCACACCATGCCACAAGCATGCTATACCAAGCAAATAGAAATGGGGTATTTGTCACCAGTGTCCTAATGTTCTGTTCTTCTACCAGCTATCCAAAAATCAATCAAAGAAGGAGGTAGTGTATTTACTACAAATTGCATACATTATCGCTTATCTCACAATGCATACAATCATTTTTTGATAGTTAACTGTGTTCTTCCTACTTTCCAGACAGTCAGTGATTTAAGCTAAAATATAGCATGAATAACATGTGAATGCATGGATTTTCAGAAGCATACTCTCAAAACTGAGATATTAGGGCATTCTGAACAGTGCAGGCATTTTAACTTTATTACCACAGAACAAAGTGTTCATCAATAACGTGAATACCACATGACTGACCGTGGTTTTGCCTCTTTGTCAGCAGTTCTGTATTGCTGAATACACACCAACACAGAGGGAAAGAGCCGGAGAAAAGGCTGATACTAGGGCTCATAAAGCTTGATCATGTTTCCTTCCTTCCTGCCCCTGTATCTCCTAACCATGGTTTTTCTTGTGAATCGTTTTGGCTGAAGAAAGTGCAGATGACCCTATGGTAGTCTTGGTGTTGATGTATTTGCTACCTTAAAAGCATGTAACCCGTCTTAAACTAAAATTGCTCGATAGTCTATGCATATCGGAACAAAATTATTTGCAAGCACTATTTTCTCACTGTGGTGCAAGAAATCACATCCACAAAGAATCAGTTTGCTGTAAGGATGACATATGCATTAGCACAGGTAGACTTTTGAATATTGTGGTTTATCAAGATGAATAAACAAGAGCAGCAGTGATCGTGTATGTGTGGAAATTAGTCCTATATAGATTTCATTTTTATATTTTATGGAGTATTTGTGTTTAAAATGTTGTGCTCCCCTGGGGATATTAGCTGCATACCAGGAAGCTCACAAGGGTTTGACTCCAGTCATGTTTCTCAAAGCAGCCCATCCCTCGCAGCTTGTCACAGAAGGGAGGCTACAGGGTTGACCATGAGCGGGGGGTTATGTCTGTTGGCTGAATAGCTGGATTGTTCTGTAGCTGGATCTGCTGGATCTCTCTAGAACTAGCATTCATATGGAGAGCAAACAAAGCACAGACAAAAACAGCTGATTTTAACTCTATTGGCTTAGAGTATCCAGCAATTCTGTTTCCTTGATATTATGTGATATACCTGCTTTGTTTGTTTGATGTCTGCGTGTTTTCATACATACAGCTGCAGCTGCACAGGCACAAGCCGAGGAGCGGCGTAGCCTGTCAGGGAATAGTCCAGGACCTACAACCAACACATCAGCTAAACCTCAGGGGTGTAGGCCAGGTAAATGATACCACACCTTGACACATAGACAGATACTGCCCTGTCACTACTCTTTTGTCTTCTGTAATCATCAATAATGATCATCAGTAATTAGATGCAACACAATCCACTTCCACCACCCTCTCAGTGTGGCTTACTGCAGGTAAACCTTAGTCGTCATCTTATTACTGTAACAGTTGACAAAGCTCATTAAAGAGGGTCACATGCATACATCTGTCTGCCTGATTCAAAGCCTTTGTAACACCATGCTGCATTGTAATCACTGTTCTCTATAGATGCATTGCTACATATGTTTTACCGTTCAATCACATGCTGTATTCACATGTGTTTGTAGTCATTGACGGTGCCACACTTAGAATAGACGACCGACTGCGAGTGGCAAAAGAGAGACGAGAAGAGGCAGAGAGACAACAGGGTAAGAGGGTGATCCCAGTTTCTGTCTGAAATTCTTTTGTTATAGTCAGCTCTAACCTCTTTAACTGCATGTGAGATTTTTCCTGTTAAATACATAGAGGTAAAAAAAGATATATTGTTAAAACAGGAACTCACAACACTTAAGTACCAAGAATTTTCTTGTTAGCAGCAATTTCAGTAAGATAACTGATAATAAATATGGTTGATTTCAACTTAAGCCGTATATAGATATTTTTAAAAGTCCTTGCTAGTCTTTGTAGGCTCTTAACAAGGGGATTATTATTTTAAGACTATTCATACCTATAACAAGACAACATACTAAGAAGTGGCTTTTCATATCAATGCATGCTCATACTGTGTGTTTGGACAGCTTTGCGAGAGTCTCAGATCATGGAGCGGGAGCGCAAGGCCAAGCAGCAAGTGGAGCGTCAGATGGAGGAGCGTCAGAAAAAGGTTGAGGAACAGCGAAGGAAGGAGGAGCAGAAACGACTTGCTGTGGAGGAGAAGAGGAAGCAGAAACAGGAAGAGGAAAAGGTAGCTGCAGCATGGGTAGAGAGTCTTGAGATCCTCAGAGCTTAATGTTGCTCATTTGGTTTGACTCTTGTGACTAAAAGAATTACATTTGCATAGAAACACAGACTTACACACACAGGCACTGTTTCCTTCATGGATTTAAGAAAAAAAAGAGGGATATAACAACAGTGTTGAGCAGCTAACAGCACTGTTATATTGTTGTATAGTTATAACATCATCAGGTCTTATCCTCTTAAATGTTCAAGGTAGAATGTATTGCCATTCTTCACCATACAATATTCAGTATACAGGGAAGAGAAATGGCCTTCCTTCGGTGATTTTGTGTGCACAATAAAAAAAGTACAAACAGTAAAGTAAAAGTAGTATTCATTTAGGTGAAATGCAGTGAAAGCTTCTGGTTCACAGATGAATGTTGTTCTGCTCTAAATGACTTGCATTTTTCTCTTCCTCTGACGCTGCTGTGCTGCAAGGAGCACTACGAGGCAGTGATGCGGCGGACATTGGAGCGTAGTCAGCGAGTGGAGCAGAGACAGAAAAGATGGTCTTGGGGAGGACTGTCCACAGACTCAGATGGACGAACAGGTAGAGGTCCTTGCTTCACCTTAGGAGTTCATCCTTTCCTTTCTGCTTTTCTGTTCAGTTTGACTTTCATCATCCACTTGCAGTGGCCCATTGAACAGCCACTTTGGATATACACGAGTGCCTCACTTCTTTAAAAAAAGATGTGAAAGTTCAGTGGACTTGATGATTTAGGTTCTAGGTTTCTCATTCAAACATGGTTCTGTAGAGAAGAATAGAATACCCTCTATGTGCCTTTTCACTCTTTCTCATCAAAAAAAATCTAGAAACATAAGGGTAAGATTGGGTGCTGCATTTGTAAGTTCACAGGTTAAAATCTCATCATTTCAAGAATTATCGCAGCTATATTTAGTAGTACTAGCCTTGATAGCAGCTAGATGGGTATCAGTCAAACTTGAACACATAATATAAAAAAATAAAATAATTTTTAAAACTTGTCAACTTAATAGTTTCAATTCAAAATGCCCAAACTCCATTGTTTGACACAATGACCCACAGAAATCCACTTAAGTATAGTATTTGTAACTTTAGAATACACCAGCCGTTCAGATGACAATTAGTTTATGTTGTTGGCATACCAACTGATGTGTGTGTTAATTTGGTGCTAAAATTTTAAATACTTGGGTCAGTGTATTATTGCTTCAGGCACTAGGTGTCAAATAAAGGCTCACGGCTGACAGCCAGGTTTCACTTTCATCTCTCTCTCTCTCTCTCCTTGTATGAGGGATGTGCCCCATCTGCTTGTATTTTATGGCTCCTTCATGAGAGCTGTCTTTTCCCACAGGAGATTCTGATGCCAGCGCCTCATCTCCAGTAACTATAGTTATCTCCCCTGCCTCGCCAGAAAAGCCACCAAGGAGTCGACAAGGTTTTGTTTGTTGATAATTTGCTCACCAATGTAGAAACACAGCATGCGCTGGCACTGGTGCTCCAGATAGCATGGTTACCTACTGTTCTTCTCACCAGCACCCCCCTCCCCATCAACCCCCACCTGCAGTCTAACTGGCAGTTTTTCACTAACAATATTTGTGCGAGGCCTGTGTTCTGAATGTGCCTTGGTCTGGTTGAATAGCTGTAAGTGTAGCTTTAGGTTTTTCACTCATTCACACTTTTGGGCACTTCCAGAAACAAATGGGACTAATATCATCCCTGGATTCTCTATGTAATGCTGTTGATGCTCACATCTTTGGAGTGGTCAAACATGAGCATCTACTGTTTACTAACCACAATGCCTGGCTCTGAAACCACAGCAACTACGTTATGGTTTGTTAAAAATGTACATTGGCATGTTAAACATGATGTTTACCAGCAAATGTACAGTATACTATATATATATATATATATATTTATATATATATTTTGTTTTGCTAAATGGGCATCACTAAATGTGGACTGCATTAGTAGCACATTAGATCAGTGAGTGAATGGGTATATAGTTTTATATAATTTTATTTTGGGTGTATTAATGAAGGCACATATCACCCTTTGCGTATTAGGGGTATTAGGATCTTGCAGTACCTTGTACTCCCTCGTGTGCACCCAAATGCCCTCCCCCATTGGCTGGCCTCCAGTGTAAACCCCGCCTCCCTTGTCTGTCTTTCCTCCTCCCTCTTAGTGGACAAGCGTTCCACATCCACCATGAACCTGAAACAGCCGTCCGAGGCTGGTATCAGCAAACGCCTATCCTCTTCCTCTGCCACCCTCATCAAATCTCCTGACAAAAGTAAGTCTTCCCCACCCTCCTGCTCCTTTGCTCTTCTCCCACTCCCTCCTTCCCTCCCTCCTACTCTCCCTGCATTCCAGTGCTGTCTTAACCAACATAGTACCTTCCAGACGGTCTTTTATCAGCCAGGTAAATGTTTTTCTCTGATTATTCATGTACTGAAATCTACCAACAGATAAAACTGTAGATAATCCAGAACAAACCCATTTTCTCTGCCAGCTCTTAAGCTTAGAGTGAACTCTGACCTCTGTCCTCTTCATGTCCAGGATTTTGCACACAGGCTCACTGGAGCACAGACAGACTGGTAAAAAAAATACTTTAGCTCTCTGTCTCTGGTTCCAGCTAATGATAAATTAGCATCATCTCCCAATTCTGCTGCATCCATTCACTGTGCACCTCTGCAAAATACATTGAATCAAAATTTCTGAATCATAAGGGGTCCCAAGCACCAAATTGTGATTTGTTAATACATGTACTCTTATAGTGGTTTAGAAGGCTTTCACAGTATTCTTAGGCATAATTTGATTAACGTGTATTTGATTCCTGCAGAAAATAATCAGCACAATCAGTTGATTCATATCCCTCCACAGCTTCTACGGGCCATTTTTCCTCTCAGAATATTGCAATTTTCTATTTACCTCTCAACTTGATTAATAATTATGCTATCACTCTTCCTTATCCAGGCCTATGAATACTTTCTAAAAAGTCTGAGAGACTTTTGTACCATTCACAAGAGACTGTTGTGTAAATTCACCATTGGGTGTTTCATCATTGTCCCTCAGGAGCTAAGCCGAGGAGTTCATCTTGTAACCGGTTGCCTAGCAATGGCAATGCTGCTCAGGCCAGTAAGGAAGACGGCAAAAAGCTTCAGGTGGAACAGACAGGTGCAAAGATCCCCTCTCCATCCCACACTGTTTATAACTAATATGGTGTACAGTACACAATTTTCCAAACCACTACAAGTTATAGAGAAACTATTTCCATTAGATTCAGCTCTGTTACGGCTATGATAACCACATAGCAAGCTGACTTTGTACATGCTAGTGGTTTAAACACTTACATCCACAGGTTCCCTGTTGTACAATAAATCTTGTAGTAATCTGATTTAGGGAGTATCAGGTAGTATGATCAGATAAGGCAGTTACAACTCTTGTCTGTGTATTTAGCCTTCATCATTAAAACTGGGACATCAGCTGCTGTCAGCCCTAGACTGGTGACTCACATAAAGCCAAATGAAGTGCACATGATGTGTAAACGTTCTTTGGGGATTCTTTGTTGACTCCCTCTCAGCGCCTGCTTGGCTATAACTCCGCTTTCATGTCTGTAGGCCATTCTATGAAGAAGAGAAGTTCCTCCCTCACTCGAGTAAGTGTGGGCAGAGCACAGACCCCTGCCAAGCCTGATAAGGGGACAACGGATGATCAAGGTGGCTAGCATGAACAATCAGCAGTAATTTTTTTTTCATGCCCTTATCTGCATCGCTACGGCCTCCCTCTTTGAATAACAAGCATGTGGCTCTTATGTCAATGGCTTGCTCATTATAAATCTACTCAGTTTTACTTAACAATCCTGTCACAGTGCTGTCTGAAACTAAGAGGTTTTCGGGATAACATTTTCTTCAGGCTCAATTCAGTGACATGGAGCCAGCTTTTATTGCTATGTATTCTTTCTGTCCATCCATATTCTTCTTCACCCAAAGGTCTCTCTCATTGACTACTGAATGACCTCCTGGGCAGCTGCTAAGCTTCTGTACATTGTTGTTTGCCTGTGATTTACCGGGAACACTGCGCTCACCCCATTTGTGCCTTAACCTTTCTGCTGTCATACCCTACTACATCCTGTGCCATGTCATGTTTCTCACTCACAGCTGATTTTCTAGTAACCTTTTTTATTGTTTTCTTTTCAAGTGCCAACTCAGGAATGGTTTTGTCATGTGGCGTGTCTGGACTAACACAGTGTATTGTTTTGTTGTCACAGAGTGTTGATTGTTTTCTCCCTCCCAGATGACGTCATGACTGGATTTAAATCACTGGGCTCGTGCTTCAGTGTGGTGTGTGTCAGTGCCATCCCACCATAGCTCCCCTAGAGCACAGAAATGACTACAGCAACTCACTGCCATCTGTGTGCTACCATTAACCACCAGTGCTTTTGTTTGTCTTAAAGCCGTGTCAACCTCTTCATGCCCTCGAGTGGTAGAAATGTTCCTGTCTTGTACAGATGTATGTTCTGTGTGATTAACCTGAGCAATAGTACAACACAGCTACCATCATTCATACTCACATAGCACTTCTCATCTGCAATTAAAATGGTAGTTTAAAGTAATTTAACCCCAAATCTCGCACACAATATTATCTTCATTACTATAACCTTATCACAGACTAATAACCCAGATGCTTCATACTTTGGTGCACAGTTGCGAGCCATGCTGCCATGCTGCCATGCTCCAGGGGCTAACACTCATCAGCTAACAAAAAACAAGTCTGTCGACAACAGATGTCTCCTTAGTAAGGATCTCCAAAAGGAAGTGTGACTCTGCGATTTCCTTTTAAAGATGTTGCGTTTAGGGACTTGTGGCAAAATTAACCGGTCAACACTTAAACTGTTCTTCTGGAATGATTTGTACTTTGTAGCTTAGGTTACAACAGCCTAAATGGGGAATCGTTAATTCTTTTATTTTATGAAAGCAAGAGCTCTTTGTTTCTCCTGTGAAATCAAGCTACACAGTAGTGCTTTTCTAACGGGTTGAGTTGCTCAGTACTGGCCTCTGTACTACTAGAAAGCCTCATATTTCAGCTTGATTTAAATTTGGCACCTTCTTTATCTCAGCCATAAAAAAAAGTTTGAACAGTAGAAGCTAAAGAACTCTTGTCTGGTCACAGTCGCTTCCCTGTCACTTTTAGTCTTTGGTCTATTTCACTTCTCATCTTCCTACCCAATAGTATTCCCCTCAGCTGTCTTTGAAGATCACTAATGGTTTGTTTTTTCCCATCAGCACACCTTCCTCTGCCTCAAGGAACCATTGATTTGACCTCATTTTCTACTTTGACTACTGTTGACTACTGAACTGATCAGCAGTTACCAGACAATCAGTCTTTGGTCTGTCTCAGTATTCTTCCATGGTGCCTGTTCCTTACTGTCTGACAATCCTCATTTTATTAACAGGATAAAGACAGTTGATAAAAAGCCCATGTAAAATTATTGAGACATACAGTAACCTTTGGTTCTTCATGTTGATTCTCTCCTGTTGGTTAAATCACATGGTTACCTTTCAAAACTTCATTGACCCCCCCTCCCCCCTCCTTCCCCCTTCTTTGTTTTGCCTTTTCATCCCCCATTCTTGCCCACTCTTTCCTTCTTCGCCTTTTTGTTCTTCTCTACTATTTTCGGGTGATTTTTCGGCCGTGTAGCTCGCAGGCCACCGGCAAGCACTGTGGACGGAGGGGTCCTTAGTCGCCTGCTCACCCCCACCCAGGCCTCACTAGCTAGGAGCAAGAGCGCCGCTGCCCTGTCCGCTGAAGGAACAGATGCTCAAGGTAACCTCCACACAGGAGACCCTGACAGAGAGGAAAGGATGGCTAGACACAGATGCTGGTCCTCCCTACTTACCCTTATTTTATCAGCAAAACGTCAACCCAGTCACTCCCAGTATCACTTCTAGATCTGAGCTCATCCCAGTGCCCTGCTGCAGATCCTCAAGCTTTTGGAGCAGTCCTTTCAGAGCAAATGGTGGCCTCTTGGTGGTGGTGGAATTATAGACGTTGCTGCAGCTCCCTGTGTTTAAAGGCAACTATTGTAACAATCAGCTGTTTATGTTATGCATGTACAGTAATTACTTGCAGTAAGTACAGTCATGTGAGGGTGCATAGTTACTTAGTAAATATTGACAGACACACAGGTCCAGCTCACAAGCACAGTCAGATCTGGCACAATTGACTGTTGTGTGCTGAGCTGGGCTGAGCAGCACAGACTTGGCCGGGAGCATTTCTCTGCATCTGAGGAGCCTCGGGGTCCATGCTGGGAGATTTGCTCTAAGCTGCTTACCTGTTGGTTCTTGTTACGTCAGAACGAGACTGTTGTGCTATTGCATGTGTTCTCATAGGGAGTCCAGGGTGTTGGGGACTGTAATACATGGCGCCAAAATAATAATTATCTGGCATTTCCATTTGATTATATTGGCTTGAAGTGACGCTAATCAAAATCAGTACATCCCTGTTTTGCCACTAGGTTTTGGGCTGACATTTTGTTGTGAAATATGATCTGAAGCCATATAGGTGGAGTTTTATGTGTCACTGGATGGCTTGCATGCCTTTGATTTTAAATAAACCATTTCTTTGTGTTATGCCAAAATGGGGATCATCCAAAGTACATACGCTGTTGCTGAAGATATACATAATTTTAGCCTCAACAAAGACAACCCTTAATGAATCTCCTCTTATTCACTATGTTTTTAAGGATTTAAAGAACCACACTGATGGTTTACATTTGGCACATCAGTGACTCGTTTGAAAGCTGTAACTGGTTGTGGTGTTTATTGACCAGCCATTACAAACCCATTAGAAGATATAGATCTCCAGCTAAGTGTAGCAACAGTAGCAACATGACACAACTGCATTAGCAGCAGCAGTGGTAGCTCATGGCAGGATAAATTTCATAGTCACCATAACTGCACAGTGTGCAGTCAGAATGAAGCACAGAACACATTTGTGACCAGGCTGTGGCAGAGAGAGTTCTCCAGGTCTCAGGATTATCAAGGCTAATCCCTCAATCTGACGCAGCAAGCTCATAACCCAGGGACAACAGTATTTCTTTCAGCAGAAGGACTCAAAGACTGCAAATTACTCATTTTTTAGTTACTGTAACTGAACACAAGTCACACTGTCAACATTGTGTGCTTAGTGTACTAATAAATATGTGTGTGTGTGTATGTGTGTGTGTAGTGTCAGTGTTGGTTGTATTTCGTTGGTGGTAGGTTTTGCGTAGTGTGTCCTGTGCTGCTGTGCTTGGTGTTCAGGTTTGTTCATGTTGTGTCCAGCAGCTTTGGCACCTGTGGAGTGTCTGGGGCTTTTGTGAGATTGTTGCTATCTGCTCCTCATGTCTGCAGTAATCTCCAGCCCAATCAAGCTTTGAGAAATCAAGCTGTTGCCTGCTTTAAGTGCTATACCTAACAAATCGCTTTGTTTTTTTTGTGCTCTTGTCCCCTCATGAAAACCCTCTTCTGCATTTCTTTCAACCATCATCTGCCCTCCCTTCCCCTTTCTCTTTCTCTCCCAATTTCCCCTCTCTCTTTCCCTCCACTGTCTTTATTCTTCTCTCCTTTTGCTCTTTGCTGCTTTGCTGCCCAACTTGGTCGCTTATCATGCCTCCCATTGGTTGTGCTCCCCTGGCCCTGCGATGACTGTGTCCTTTACCAGAGTGTCACCTGTGTCCTCGCTCAGCCTCTGCCAGTCCCCTGCACCCACCGCGCGGACCTGTGCGCAGCCGTAGCATTGACCGACAGAAGAGCGGCATGACCACCTCTGTTTCAGCTGACGGAGCCCTCGACCCTTCACTGGTGAGGAAACCCCTTGACTTTAGTGTTGCTAACACCATTGACCTACAGAGCAAACTGTTTGAATCAGACTTTTACAAAAAGAAACGTATAATGTTAATGATCAGCTGAGGTAAAAATTTTCCACTGCAGATGATTGTGATGGCCCACTGTCCTCCCTGTTCCACTCTCCTTAAGCTGCATTTTTATATGCTCATTGATGCGAGTATAGATTCTTAGCAGACACATACAGACAATAATTTGATAATGTTGCATTTAGTTGACCCAGTCACTCATACTCAGGCATGTCTGTGTTGTATGGAAAAAAACACAACATCTTTTTGTTAGACTCTAAATAATGTTGCATTATTTTACAGCCCTATGTCGTTCAGTTCAGTTGCTTGTACTGATGGAGTAACCTGAATGCTGGGCTTCAGATCGTATCTCTAATCTTATCCATAGTCAAACTACAAAGTGATAAAGAATACATTTAAGTCAGTACATGTGTAGGACGATAAGGACTTGATGAGAGGTAGTATGACAGCCTACTTGTGGAAATAAGTTATATATATTATCAAAAAAGGTTTTTTTAAGTGTTGGATAAAATCACAATACAATTTAGAGAATATTTTGCAGCACAAAGTAATGGCTTGAAAATAACAGTGCTGTGTTTGTAAAACGACACTATGCCATTTAATTACCAGAAATGTTTGTTTTTATTTCCGTATAAAAGTCATTGAATCTGACTTGGACAGACTACAAAAATGTTTTACTGGTTAATTTAATTGTTGGTAGAACTAAGAGAGGTATGCCTCTGACAAGAAACCATGATGCAGTTGAGGTATTGACAACAAATGCATGTTCCTGCAATGAAATGATGTTGCCCAGAGAAATATGTGGATGGCACCAAAGACTCTGATTTATATGTGCATATCCGGCTACATTTGCCTGTCAAAGTACTTCTGCAGGATGCTAACCATAGGGAAATGTTCCCCCAGCTGTTCTCTGACCTTTGCTGGTCACTCACACAATTCACATAATTTGAACTTGTTCATACATTCGCAGAATTTTATCCTATGTACTTTTACTCATAAGTGATATCTGATTTTTTTTACTTGGTGGCCTGTAGTGCCTGGCTCTCTCATAACCTGCCTGTCCTCTTCCTCCTCTGTGGCTGTGAAGGGCCTCATTGTCATAGCATTAGACAAAGGGATTCACAGTGGCCTGATTATGGGCAGATCATCCCATGCAAAACAGACCCCACCCTGACCCTGGGGCCGAATGTCAAAAGCCTTTGACTTTCTTTACCTTCTCTTTATCGTCTCTCCTTCACATTTGCAGATTGGTGTGGAGATAATTGAAATTCAGAGCCTCATGACCATCACTCAGCCATTGCGTGACTGTCTTTCAAGTCAGCTGAATTAGGCTGTCTGCCCACAGTGGGGATATTTTTTTTAACAACTGATCAAAAAGTGTATGAGAAAAGTGGAAAAAAATAGCTGTTAGTGCTGTTCTGTCCTATTTCATATGTCTTACACAATCATCTTCCTGATGCTATGCTAGGGCACATCATTAGTGATGTTACCTGGGGTCGTCAGGTGCTTCGGTTCTTTTAAACATCATATACCCTCACCCAGGCAACCCCATCAGGGTTGATCTTCAGCTCCTCATACTTTGCTCTTTTCCGCTCACAGGCCTCCTCCAAACATTCACTCCACGGCACGGTGAGCTCAAGCATAAGAACATACTTTCATGCGTCAGACCACAGCACAATATTGGGCAGCAGTGTAGTCTCTGTGATGTGGGAAGAAAACTGCAGCCAAAGTGGATGCTGCTTTTGATTGGCTCTGTCTTCTGACAGATGTTTAGGGTGCTGCAGATGTTCTCTGCAATAGTGCGGAGGACGTGGTCATGTCCCCACCAACAGCGACTTTGGGTAAGAGCTCTTGGGCAGCAGCTCAGGGTATGCTCAAGCTTGCCAGATTTCTCACAGAGAGGGCAAGCTGGTCGTTCTGCAAGACCCCAGCTGCAGGTTGGGTGGATGGACAGTCTGATGTTATTGTCCCTGTTGAGACTCTCAGATGTAAATCATTCTATTAGTCGATGAGTACATGTCAAGACCAACTCTTCCCTTGGCAACTGCCACCACCAGCACCTTATGGCGCCGTCGTGCCTCAGCAGCTTCTGCACTTTCTTCCAGTTCTCACTGTCGCTCTTACCTTTCAACTGTTGAATCTGAAAATTCCTGGTACTGCAGCATTTATCCTGCTTACGTAATCTTAAACTCCTCCTGGATTTCAGGGAGGGAGTTTCCATACAGAGCAATGCTGCTGATGTTTGTAGGTAAACCCAGCTATCTTTGCAAGAAGATTTTCAGGGTTCTTTGTGATAGTAGGAATTGGAATACCCTCAATCAAGAAACAAAATTTCTCCGCCTTTTCAGCACTGTAGATCCTGATTTTGCAGGCTTGAAGAACAGCCTCGCCAACCTCAGAATCCACCTAGCAACAGGCAGTGAGTCCGTAGTGATGGCGAGGTCATCCATGAATGCTCATATTGGTGGTTGGCGGATCCCAGATCTTGATTTCGCCCCTTGACACTCTGGCCCTGCACATTTTACCAGTATGTTCATTACCAGAGCAAAAAGGGTAACTGAGATTGAGTGCAGCCTGTGATAATGCCTACCTCCAGCCTGCACTAGTCTGATGTTATCGGCCCTCTTGAGAATCTCAGGTGTCACTTCTGTTAGTCGATAAGTCGTCCATGTCATACAATGACTCTATATACAGTTCTTGCTATAGTGCTGTATTGACATGAATAGGAAATTAACTTCTTGTCCCTGTTATGAAACTGTGCAGTCACATGTTTATTGTCCTTCTTTCATGTTCTCGTAAGAGGATGATGATCAAGCTGTGTGACCACAACTAAAACAGTTTTCTTATGATACCAGTTTCATATGTAGATACAGAAAATGCATTGTATCTAATTTTTGCCTACTTGGCATTCAGTGCAGAGAGTTTGGGGTGGGACAGTGCTGTATATTTGTGTCTGTCTGAGTGTCACATGGTTGACCTTGCTGTGCCCTGCTGTCATCATGTTTACAGTGCCAAACATAGCACATGGGCATTAAAAATAGATGAATTAAAACCTGATCCATGGCCTCCTTTAATTGAGCATTGTGAATATGATATGCTAGTGAAACAAAAAGTGGCAGAGGCAGAATTAACAATTTAAGTTAAGTTAAGTTAAATGGTTAATTTGTTATAATATGTGTTTTGTGTATTTCCTACTGGATTTTCTTGTGATTCTGTCTAAATATAAGGATAATTCATTTGTGTAAACAAATGGTTCCAAAATAAACACTGGGAATGAGAGAATCATAAATGCAATACGTTATAAAAATAAATACAGTATTTCTGCTACATAATATGATATTTACCTTTTATGATGTTTATCAGTTTTATTTGCATGTTTCTTCCATAGCACTGTCTTCCATAGCACCTCTTTGGAGCCTCTAAAATAATTTCAGTGATACAATCTGAGAAGGACAAATCACAGTTTGGTTTAAGTGCTTACTATTTATGTCCACATTAAGGTCATAAGTTGTGATGAGTAATCACAAGTAATCCTAGCTGTTGTGGAGTGATCCCTTTTTGATATCAGTATAACCCAGTCACATATTTTACAACTGTTTTGCTTATTACGCAATGATATTTAAATTGACATTGAGATTTTGCGTTAGACAGAACTGTTTCTGGGAATTGGTTTCGAGCTCTTGAAATAGTCCTACTTCAGAGATAGTCAAGAATTCCTTTTCCACTTCTATCCCTTTTCTTTGGAACTACAGAAGGACAAGCAGTTAACGCCTGGGGGGCAACGTCCCGCCTCCCCATCCACCCCCCTGGGACGCAACCGCTCACCATCCCCAGCCCCCAATCCAGCTCCAAAGAGGACCCCCTCCCCAGCAGCCAAGTAAGACTACAAGCCTTCAGCTTTAGTGATTTAGTGGTATTTTACTTCATTTTTTGAGGGATTGGATGGAGGCTTTCTTTTTGATTTAATTGTAGAACACAAAAGGGCATAACTCACACTTTATTCTTACAGGCAAAGTTCCAAGTCACGCCCACCCTCACCTGGTGCAATGAAACAACGTCCCCCATCCCCCCAGCCTACATCAACCAAACCCCCACCCATCCAGAAACAGGCTCTCACTCCAACAGGGCCCCCTACTTTGCGAAAGAGAGACTCCAAGTCTAAGGAACTGTGTCCTGTCCAGGCTGTGGCTCCACAGCCCTCTGACAGCAGCAAGTCCAAAGAGAAAGATGGTGAGCAATTCTCTATCTCAATAAAGCATTTAACAGTATGTATGTGTGAGTGTAAGCTGTTTCATATTTGTACAAAACATATGACTTAGGCAGACTTAACAACCATAGTCAACTGACAGATTGTAATTAGTCAGTACCAATATTTGCCAAGTGTGATATTCTGTTATTCTGGCAACCAGGATGTTTACACTGGTGCATCCAGACGTGGTGTCATTTTCAGGGAGCACAGTGACCCAGCAGGACAAGCTGAAATCTTTTTCATCTGGAAAAAAATGAAAATCACTGAAGTTCTTAGCCATGCAGGTCCAAACTTACTGTCGCAAAAAATATTTAAGTAATTTAATTGTTAATTGTTAGAATTTACTGAGGCACCTCTTATGAATAACTGGCTGTCCCTTAATCTGATGTAAGTCATACTACTACTACACAAAAGCTTCTTGCTCTTCACCCTTCACTTATTATTTGTCCAGACACCTGTTCCATTTACACTTGACATATGCTGATGGGAGCGCAAAAGGAAGTAAAAGGAGGAAATCAAATTGCAAGAGCTCTTGGATCCAAAAGAAATTACAGAGGGAGAGTTTGCGCATTAATAAACTGTTAAATTTGCAGAACACAAAACAGAAGTTCCCTGGTCGAACCAAACCAAACAGAAAAGATATAAGAATATCATTGTCATTTTATTTTCAACATTGTTATCTATATTTCATAGTGTTAGGTAACATGGCCACTTGCTTACACTTGCTTATTAAACCGTGATCAGTCAGTTTGGTTTTAGAGCCTTATCATCTGTTTTTATAGATTGACCCTAAACCGTATTGTGTGGGTGGGTGGGTGTGTGTGCGTGCGTGCGTGTGTGTGTTTGTGTCCAGCAAACTGACGTGGCAGAGGCTCAGTTTACAATAAAATCTCAGTGGAGCAGGAGACCTATTAAGTCCCAGCTGGAGTCACATCCTGTTACAGATCTGAGGTTGTTGCTGCTGCCACCTCATGGAGAGAATTATGCTCTGCAAGATAAAATTGCTTAGTAATGGTTTGATACTAAATGCCAAAGACTGTCTCCCAGTATTCATTAGAATTGTCTAAAAACAAAAGTGTTGTGGAAGACACAAATGATGAATTAATTTCCATTCCTGGCTTTATTAGTATATACCCTTTTCATTTGCATCACATAAATGTTAACATGCAAGTGTGAGGGTGGGTGATAAGGATAAAGTGCTCTGTCACAGTAAATGTAATTGTCATCAATCATCATCAAATGCAAAAGTCATATGAAAATCTTGCTATAAACCAGTCCTGTGTCTTCTATAACCTAATAAACTTAGATATTTAAGGGATAAATGCTATGATAGTAATGGTGGGGCAGAATCTCTGAGGGTAGACAAATTGGTATAATCACCCTATCGCCCAATCCTAATGTGTATTCCCACCTGACATTATTTGAGAGTTCTATGAAAGAGCACAGAGATTGTCATGTGAAAGTTACACAACTCAGTATCAGGCTGCTCTCTTGTTTTTTTCCTGCTGCTGCCTTTCTCTCTCACAGTTAGCCTCCTCCATTAATCAGGCTTTCCCTGTTCTCTCAGTCATCAGTCATCCTCCAGTCCCTCAGCGTCTACATGCTTTGGCCTCAGGTCAGCACTACAATGAGAAATGGACGACAAGAGTGACAAAGTGCTAAACGTATCTTCCATATTTGTCTTTCCACCTGTCAGACTCTAAGGCCGCGTCAGGCACCAACTCGGCTGCTGAGGCAGCCAAGATCCTGGCAGAGAATCGCAGACTGATGCGAGAGCAGAAGGAAAAAGAGGAGCAGCTCAGGGTACAGAGAGAGGAAGAGGAAAGGTGAGGATGTTGAATTATTCATTTTGGTTATAATAAGGATGCAGCAGTTATGATAACATATCCAAGTACCATCAACTCTGCTGGTTATATTTTATGGGCATTAAAATGAATATTAAAATACAATGAGCATGGTGAATGAAGGAACGCACTTCAAGCATTTGCTGCTGTTTCATATCCAGGCTGAGAAAGGAAGAAGAGCAACGTTTAGCGGAGGAGGCTCGACTGAAACGCATAGAGGAGGAGAAGAAGCTTGCAGAGGAGAGAAAAGTCAAAGAAGAAGAAGAAGCTCGCCTGGCAGAGGAGGAGCGGGTGAGACTGGCAGAAGAGGAGGCAGTGAAACAGGCCGAGCTCCAGAAGGAGCGGGAGGAGGCTGAGGCCAAGGCTCTGGAGGAGGCAGAGAGAGTCCGTCAGGAGAGAGACCGCATCATGCAGCAGAACCAGCAAGAACGAATGGAGAGGAAGAAGGTAAGGATGGATGAAGGAGAGAATCTTCTCTTTAGTGGGGTCTTGATAAGGAACAAATGTTACATATTGTTGCAGCAGCATTTTGTTGAAGAAATAATTTATAAAAATGTTAAATATTCTTTACATTTCAGAGAATTGAAGAAATAATGAAGAGAACTAGAAAAGGGGATGCAAATGACTTGAAGGTGAGCTCACATTCACTCAGCCTGTATATCTTTAAGTTTTGGAGAAAATCCTCTACACTGAGTGTGTGTTAACATGTTGATCATGTCTATCTGTCATGCTTGTGTAGAGAGATGACGATAAATCGCAGGAGAATGGAGATGAGGGAGGGGACCAGATAAGCTGTGAAACCAAGAGTAAGTGTTTTCATCCTTTTGCTTTCACCTTGATGGCAGGTTCAGGATATCAAAGTGCATGAAAATGTAGGCATCACTGCGTTTTTGAATTTGATATTTTGTCACTGAGAGTGAAGGTGTGTCTTCCTGTCTTTGTTTGCATATGCTTTACATAAATTGCTTGTTTGTGTGGGTTTACATAATTCTCTATGCAACATATGACTTGTCTCATTGAAATTCATTTGCTCAATAGATGACATAGCCCAGACAGATGACATCGCCATGGAGGCCGACAAAGATGAGTGTGGTCTGTCCTCTGGTGATCCGGGGATCCAACAAGAGGAGCTCCTAGACAGTGTCAATGGGAAACCAGAGACTGACGACAAGGAGAATAACAATGGCATAAGCACAGATGAAACTCAGGCAGTAAGGTATGACTGCAGAAAAGAGCATGACACAGGAATACAAAGTCATCTCAAAATTAAAACAGGCTTAAGCTAGTGTTATACCTTGCCCATCTGCAACAACGCAAGGATCTGATAGGGTCTGAGTGATGTAAATTTTCGGCATCAGAGGGCACACGCGAGGCTCTGTGCAGACGTCTGTGTGCACTGTTGTGACAGTTCGCCACAAGGGCACCAACTTGCACATGCATCCTCCAAGTGGGCTCCAAACAGACGAGAAAAGTATAATAAGAATAACAATGCATCCAGGGTGTCCACAGCTGTCTGTGTGCATGTCCGCCAGGGAGTACAATTGCGGGTTCAGAGTCCTGTTGACTGTACTGTAATTGTCAGCAGCTGAAATTTTATCAGCGTGAATGAAAAATGGTTTATCATTTGTTGAAATACTACAGCACTGTCTGTTTTAGTAAATTCCTAGGGCTGTCCCTAAATCAGGATACAAAAAATCTTTAAACTTTAAACTAAAGATTTTTTGTTTTTATAAACACTCAACATTATCATTCGTCTTTTCCTTGTTACACCTTATCTGCAAACATGAGAAATATATTCTTTGCTACCCTGCAGTTAGTGTCAGTCCAGGCACTGCACACGAAACTCCAATATGAGCCTACATTAATCTGTACATTGTCTGTAAGACTTGTGTCTTGGTGCCTTTCTTCATTATATGTGATCTGAAAACATTAGATTCCCACAAAGTCGATGGTAGAGAAGGCTCAGGGACTTCTAGGGAGCAGCCCTAGAAAAATTTAACTGCACTTGTGACTCGTATTTAAGGATTTTCTTCTTCAGTAGGAATGATTTGGCCTGGGGGGTTAGTGCCACACAGTGGGGAGGGAAACTAAATGAGAGATGAACGAACTCATTGTTGGTTTTGGCCTTTCTGTGGGATTTGTTTGTTTGCTGAAATATATAGAATAACAGCAGCCTTATCCCTTTTTGGACCGGATTCCCTTCTGTCAACCACTTACTCCTCCATCTCTCAAAGTTGGGTTGTGCTGTGAAAACTTTGTCTTTCATCTTTCAAAGTACTTTCCTAACGGGCACCCAATACTTTTTCCCCTTCCCCTCTCCAGTCCAGTCCCTAAAGGCCACCTGGTCGAGGGTTCGGAGTTCCTGAATGAGCAGGACTCTGCCAAAGTGGGGTTGGTCTCTGGCATGAACGGTAAAGCCAACCAGTGGAGCTTTGAAGAATTCATTGACCTCAATGTCCACTCTAAGACTCGGCCCCTCATCGAGGCAGAGGACTGTAACCAGGTCTTGATCAACTGTGACGGGAGCTCAGATGGGACCAGGGTAGCCTTCGAGGACAAGGGAACCCCCGTCAACACCCTGCATTCCTCTAATCAACCCATAGAAGCCCTTTCAGGTGCGGAGTCAGTTACTCATTCATTTATTGGGAATGCATAGCTTCAAGATAAATCGTAACTATTTTCTCCTGTGTCTCTGTAGAGATTTGATGCTGCGGCCATCGCTGGGAAGCCTCTCACTGTTGCACTCCTAAAGTTCCTGTCTAGCTGAGCTCCTTTAAAAAAAAAAAAAAAAGAAAAAAAAATCCTTTATCAGTTCCAAACAGCTTCCTGCTCTTTGTCCTCCTCCTCTTCCGGAGGGAGGAGCACAAGGTGAAGTGGAAAGACCACCAAGTGCTACATTTGCACCCTACATGATGAGGAAACAAATATATTAAAATTATATATTAAAAAATGTTATTCTTCAGGGAAATTCCATATATTCCTTCGTGCTTGCTTCAGGTCTCTTTCCTCTTCCTCTTGTGTTTAGTTCTTCTCCAGATGTTTTTGTTTTTTTCTATGTTGTGTCTGATTTTGATGATGTTTTTTAAGAGCTTTGTCTTTGTCAGGGGTGCATTGTTGTAATTTATTAATTTTGGCTTCTATGTTATTGTAATTATTGTTATGTATGTTTCTTTTTTTTTTTTCTCTTCTATGAGAATATTCCAGGACACATGCACATTAGGCTGTGTGAACTGAATATGAGGTAAATATAGTGAGTTAATGGAAGGAACGTTAATACATTCTGATGTGTCAGGGGTTGGGGGGATAGCATCCCAGGATTTGCATGTGATTCATCTAAATTTACTTGACCGGCTGTTTTTTGCAGCATCCAGCAATATGGCCTTACCATTTTTTCCCCAACTTCTAATTTCTAAGTATGAATATAGTAAATATTTTGTGCTGAAGCTCATACACGCACAGTTTAGCAGTCTCCCATCATGCGCTTACAGTTGGGAGTGGATTCTGTATTCATGCTATACTTCACAGATCTCTGTCCTTTTTCATCCCCTTTTTTTTTCATGCCTAACACACAAACACCTGTCTCCCAGCTTCTCTCTCCCTGTGTTTCCTTCTTTGGCCACTAGAGGGATTCAAGAGCACAACTGTTACATTTGAAGCTCAAGAGAGTTGAGATTAAAGACGACGCTGTAGTGAATTCACATCTTCACGTCGGTGAAGTTTCAGCAATTTGTTGATTTGGGGCTCATGGCCCATTTAGGTTTTATTTTTTTACATATGTATATAGAATGTGTGTTTACTAACATCATTGTAATTTACATCACAATCTGAGTTCTAGTCTCATCTGAAGTGATAACACCACCACCTGCATCTGTTCCCATTCAACTGTTTGAATAATTGAAACTGTGACACACTAACTTAACAGAGTTGAAGTCCATTAGTTTCTTTCTTAGCTGCTTCTGAGCTTCTTAAGGCGGTGTGTGTTCATCACTGGAACTTCAATGTTTGGCTGTTTTCATGTCATTCATGTCCAGAGTTCACCTTTACTGAAACTAGAAATCAGGTTTTCAATTATCTGGTTTTTATTTGAACTTTACCAACACATCCACACACACCTCTCCATCCATCCTTCTGCCTGTGTCACTCTGTCATTAATTCCACTTCTTTCCCACAAACCATCTTCTAAAACACCAGCTGCTGCATCAGACAAAATGCATTTCAACTGTTTTTTATAATATAAAATTTGGCTCTTTGTTTATATATAAAAATACATTTCTACATATATTTAAGTGTTATTGTATTGTGTATATAATCAGTATTAGGCAAATGAAGCCATGTTTAGGAGGGAGTGGTGTCAGGATGTGGATAATTGAAGTCTGTGTATGTGTATGTGCTATAAGTTTAAGGTTTCTGTTCTTACCCTGTGACACGTGCCCTGTGACAGGGTAGCCGGGTTAGGTTTTTGCAGCCTGGAAAGCTAACACTTACATGAAGCCCTGTTCCACAGCAGCTCTGCAAAACAAGGGGCCAAGTGGGGACCCACTATGTTTCTCAAAATGTGGTCTGTAATTCTGTGTATATTTGAGAGATTTCAGTCGTATATCCCCAAGCCCTAGTTTTGATTCTGATGTTGCCTCACAGACTAAACAAGTTGACATTTTAATGGCGAACAGAGCTCACAACCCTCAGCAACATTTCTTGACCCATGAAAACAGTCGTCGCTGTGCCTCATAATGCTTTTAATGTCATCAAAATATGTTTTATGTGATGTCAAAAGATATGGTAGGCATATCAGCGCAGTTTGCAACCTTTCTCCTTTGTAACATGACGCAGGGTAAATTCACTAAACAAAATCTGAGATGGGGCAGACTTGTTTTCCCATATTGTTTTCTGTCTGTTCTGGAGTTTTTTTTTTTTTAACAAACTGTGTTGAAATCTTGAAATGCTCAATGCTTGAATAGTCTAAGCACAAGGTTTGGGGACCTTGATTTTTGCCTTGTTCTCTGCTGGCTAACTAAAATCTTTGTACATAAAGACTAGGGGCTTTTAGATCTTAGCTTTGATTAATAAGCTCAAAGAATGTAACAGACTCCATAAACCGTCCTTCATTATTTACCATGTCTCTCAAAGCTGCCCACTTTTAGCTTACATACATTATTCATCTAAAAACACAAGACTCTTTGCACTGTCACATTACTTGCTGTGTTTAAAGAATGGTTACTGAGGAGTTGCTTTACTGTACAGACCCGTAGGAGAGATGTGTGATATTCTGGAGGAAAGTAGGGTTTTTTCCCATTAAGAGATTTCAAAAAATCTCACCCCTAACCCAAAACTTGCCAATACCCAAACTCCGCCCAAACCTTTCCTACTCCTTTCCACTCATGAGTAGCACCTGTTGGGGGGCTGTTGTAGCTGCTGCTTGAAGAAATACTGTATCTATTCCAGGTTCCTGCTGCATCTTTGAGGGCTTGAGTACAGAACTGACTGCTCTTAGTCCTCAATGTTGTCTATAACAATAGGATAGAACGGTGCCTTAGATTGAGATTTAGTATTTTTATTGTATCACAGTTGACTAAGAAAGCTTGTCTTTACCTCAGCCTCGACAATCAGTCCACCCAACCAGGGCAACAGTGTGAATATGAATATTTCTCTGAAAGATTTACAAACCTAACAATGCCCTGACCACAAATAAAATTTGTACTGTAAATATATCTAAAGTGTACTGAGATGATACAAACTGTTAAAACAATAAAGTCTTGCAAAAATATCCCATTGCCATGTTTTCAATTTCTTGCTGTAAAGAAACAACAGGCTTCATTTGGCTTCCTCTTTTATTCTTGTTGTGCATTGATCTTCACTCATCAAGTCTTGAATACATGAGCAGTTTGTATTTCAGCATCAATCCCAAAAACCTAATTTGTATTTTAAATTCACTCTCTAAACATTTTTGACAATGCTCATAATCCATTCAAGCATTCAGAGGCATAACAGATTATTAATCAAAGCTGGTATGTATGAGCAGCAGTATGCATGAAAGAAGCATTTTATTCTCTCTGGAAGATTCCAGTAAGCCAGGCTGCAGGCAGAGTCCCAGAGGAGACTAATAGTGCATATCTCATCTCACAAAACAAATTCTGTTGCCATGTTAGTATCCAAACATTGACACTATTACAAGTCGCAGCAATGTATATGTGGATAAATGATTCAAGCTAGTGCATATTTAGTTGAAATAACCACTAATCGGTCAACTTCATAAAGAGAAGGTTCACCAAAATTGACTGTTTAGACGTGTTTATGCAAATTCAGAAACAGAGTAATATTTCTGTCATTTTCAGGCCTCAAATTCTGAAAAAGTAGAAATTTATGCAATAATACGTTCTAATATGTCTAAAAGCCAGTTTTTGGTGTAATTCCACTTTAAACAGTGACCATCTGCAAAGCTGCTTGTGCAGTTCACAGCTTCTTAGCACAGTCAGGGCAGTAGATATGATCTCCACTGATGATGAAGCGCTTGTTGGCCAGAGAGAGGCTGCACTTCTTGCAGTTGAAGCAGTACTCGTGCCAGGAGTAGCCCTCATAGTTCACCACATTGGTGCCATGGCCAAACCCTGCAGAGACAGAGGGAGGAGGACAGCTGTCAGTCAGCACAAGGCACATCATTATTCTTCTAGATAACAGAAGCTATATCCAAACTGTTCTCCAGAACTTTGTGTCATTTGGTATTCAGCACAGGCTGGTGTTAAATTATGAAACAACTAAGAACCTAAATCTGAAATCAAAGATAATTTTTATGCTTTATTTGCTTACGGCAAAAACGGGATGAGCAAAAATAGAAAGAAAAATTATAAATAATTATGTAATTATAGGAATATAGTTTTATTTGAAAATAATTTAAAAAATATTAATTCATTAGTTGTTTATTATCAGGAACTTTACTCTATAGATGTTTTGAATAATATGTTTGCCTGTAGAAAAATGTCACATTTGTGCTGTGCACTGACTGAAAACTGCTGGCAGTCAACTGGAATTCATTTATTGAAAGTCTACCATTTCAATACTGTTTCTGTTTTCCCCTGTATTTGTTTTCAGGAAATGCTTTGGAGATTATTAGGAAATTATTCAAAATTACAGACCCATAATGTAAAACATTACTAAAAGATCAACTTTTTCTGCTGTGAGATGCTGAAATTGTTTCATGATATACTGTATCATCTGCGTTAGCTGGAGCTCATCCTCCAAAATGTGTGTATTGGCCGCATTGCATCATGGTCTGATTGAGTCGTCTGAGTCGATTATAATCTCTCAGAGGTCGTTATAATTGTGCAGGAAACACCCAGAAGAGGAAAAGAAACAAAATTGTTCTTCTACTGTTTTCTATTCATCTCTGCTGACCTGTGATGGGGTTCTTGCAGCCGTGGCACTTCTTGGCCACATCAGTCTTGTAGCAGTCCACGCAGTAAACGTTGTTCTCATGGGAGGTGAAGCGAGCTTCAGCCAGAGGTTTACGGCAGGTGTTGCACACGAAACACTCAGAGTGCCAGGGCTGGTCCTGGTAGCTGATCCCTCCAGAGGAGATGGGCTTAGAGGGAGACAGAGAGGCACTTTGATCATGATCTCAAAACACAACAGGGCTGGAAGGTCATTCGTTGTAACGTGAACCATCTACGAACTGTTTATTTTGAATAGAGAGGGCGCTATACTGTAGGTGATGCATGCGCTCTTACTGACTAGCAAACTGATGAATGTTTTTACAGTCACAAAACATACAAAACAAAGGTACACTCAGTGCTTGTACCTGCTTGCAGTGGAAGCATTTCTTGGCAAACTTCTTGTCATGGCAGGGAGCACAGTAGATGTCTTCACCCTTGGTCAGGAAACTCTGTGTGCGGATCGGCTGCTTGCATTCAAGGCAGGTGAAGCACTCCTCATGCCACACCTTGTTCTTGTACTCCACGTTCTTGGATCCTGAAGCACAAACCAAAAATAAAACCAACCATTTGAACTGAAAGTTAATGGACTCTTCAGTCCTTCACGTACAGTGTCGTTTCCCCTTTTTGTTTATTCATAGGTAGTGTTATGGTGTCATTTTATTCCGCTCTGTTCAACATTATCATATATATTTTGTATCAGCTTGTGCCACTTCTTTATTGGAGCTTAATGATGCCTTATACTGAGAGAAATATACAAACCAGAGATGTTTTCATGATCACACCATTACATCAAACGCATAAGCCCGACCATATTTGGATCTTGACTAGAATTTGAAATAAAGATCTTATGGGTTTGAACAAATTATGCAGCCACATTATCAGTTTGTGATGCATGACCCACCGGTGGGCCACTTCTTGTTGAATTACAACAATTAATGGATACTGGAGCGGCACAAATAAGGGAGCTGGCTATTCTTGGGGCTGCTAATAATAATCTGTTTATTTAGCCACTTGAACTTCAGTTACACAGTGCTTTATATAGAAAAACAATACCAAAGGGAGGTTAAATCAGAGGTCAAGTGCAGTAAAATAGCATTATAAAAAAGCAGATGGAGTCACAAGTATGAAAAGGGTATAGATTTAGATATAAATTATTATTAGATTATAGATTATACAGATTTACAGATTATGTTTGTTGCAACTGAGCTCTACCCACTTCAAACCAGTAAGAAGGACACAGATGAAAACACAAATACAGAAATCTCTGTTCTACCTTTGTCAGGAAACTGTGTGCTCATGTAGGCACACATCACTCATAGAAATAAACCAGAGGAGAAGATAGGTTTTCAGGGTCTTTAAAACACAAAAGTATAACAGCGAACCCACCTGGCATGACCACCTTATAGCAGCCCTGGCACCGGTTGCCATCCTCCCGGGAGCCACACTTGCCGCACATTATCTTGCCATCATCCCGCGCGCTGAACGGCTCGCTGGCCAAAGGCTTGTAGCACTTGGCGCAGCGGAAACAGTCCTCATGCCAGTAGCGGTTCTTATGGTGCAGCTCCTGAGCACAGACAGGAGGCACAGGGTGAGCAGAGGAGCCCTCACTGAGTCCTCACGCAGACCTCATTAAAGTGGAGTTTTGTTTACTTATCATGTGGACCAAGGCTCGGGGCCAGACTACAGAACAAGCCCATGTGGCAGGCATTAAAGTGGAGATGAAGTTAACTGGGATGTGGTGAGCCGTGAAGAAGTTAGGGGATTTAGATGGTGGAAATGCCATATAAAGTATTTAAGCCTCATTAGTAGTAATAACTAACTTTTTTACACGTTTAACTGACTGTGACTGGGTGGTGAGAGTGGTTTGGAAGCACAGGCTGCTGCTGGATGACAGCTGAAGACTGAGAGCTCTCTGAACACAAACAAAAGTAGACGCACTCACTTTCTTTCACTTAGTCTCTTCTTATCTTAACAACTTTTTTTCATGGAAAATATTTTGACAAAAACCACAGGTGTAAATAATAAAATTGTTGGTGGTTGAAATTCACCTCAGTTTCATTAAGAAAGAAAATTCTCTTAAATGTTTTCAGAAATTACTGTATATTTAATATGTGTTCATAAACATACTGTATTTTATCATATTTTACAGGATGCAACATCTGTCTGGACTGACCATAAGAGACTCCTTTTTGTTTCTATATTACTTAAAGGCTAGGTCACGTCCTCCTTCACTCATTCATCTTCACTCACACACACATTTCACCTTGGAATCAGCACCAATGGGGCGTCTGCACTCTGCGCAGGTGTTGGCACAGAGCTTATCGAAACACTTGGTGCACACGTGCTTGTCGTCCTTCTTCACATACTTCTTCCCATGCAGGTTGTCACGGCAGTAGTAGCAGTCGAAGCGGTCAGTCATGGTGGAGGTAAGATAGCTCCTGGGACCTGTGGAAACACAAGAGGTCATCAGACACAGAGCTTCTATCCTCCCATCGTGACTGCTGATTTTTCCATTAGACACCAGATGGGGACAGTGTTGCCTTTAATAACACACCCAAGACTCAGTGAGCAATGCAAGTCAGAGCGAAAGGTCCTGTTCAGCAACTACTAATATATTTAATTATACAGTTGAGCACTTAAAACATCGTATCCTTGAGTCAAAGTGCTTTACAGTGTGTGTGTGTGTGTGAGGGGGGGGAATAGAACAAAAGAAATGAGGGGACAAAGTTCAAGATGAGCGAAAACAAATCCCACACATCTATGACTAGAGTGGTGAACAGCAAAATGATGCCCGAGGCAGTTACTGTGCTGTCTATCTGACCTTAGAATGCAAAACAAATGTATGCAGAGGAAGCCTATTTTATGTTTTTCTGTTTTCCCACTAAGACACAGCGAGATGCACCTCTAACAGCAGCATACCAAACTGATGAGGGAAGTGAGAGTGATGTAAAAAAAAAAAAAAAAAAAAAAAAAGAAAAGAAAGAAAAATATCTAGTTCGTTCTGGAAAGCTCAGCTCATATTTTTAGACCGTCTGGCTCATTCCCTTCACCTCCCACCTCGAAGACCTCCCACCCCCACCTGAGTCCGGCCCACACTCTCTCTGTTGTCTGCATTTGGAGCAGGTCATTTTATTGGCCTTTGTTGTAAACACTCTAAACCGAGTTGCCTTTGCTTCTTCATTCATCAACATTCCTGCTCTTCCATCACAGGCATCCGCTGGGAGCAGATTGAACCGTTTCCTGGAACAACTGTGGGCAGGGTGGAACGTGTGGACATATTAATTCTTATCTACATCACTTTAAAGCCCCTCCCCTCTCTCAGGATGTCAGAACCAGCAGCTGAACATTGTGTGAACTTTAGCAAAAGTGATTTATTCAGCGTGACATGTATCATTTTAATCCGGTCAGAACAACACGAGCGATGGAGGAAACAATGGGTGGAATGGCATTTTGTCCTAGTAACCATAGGAGCAAGGAAAATATTTATGAAAGGGGACTTCAGCTATTTAAGTGGGATGTGCTACACAGCCGTGTGAAAGATATGAGCCTCCCAGAGTGAGGTATGTGCCCCTGCTGCGTGTGGATCGATAGATGGGAGAGGGTTTTGGAGGAAGAGAACTATCTGCAGCTGTGCAGCAGGGATAAAGACTGGACTGAGCCCTGACACGCCCCACTCCGCCTACACACCTCCATTTAATGGCAGTGAAACACAGTCAGTCATGTAAAATCACATACACAATACACATGCTCTCATTACTGAGCAGAGATCTATTTTAGACTTGGACCCTCTATTTAAAGTACATTGACCTTCCAGAGGGGACTAATGGAGAAGGATGCAGAGGGATGACGACTGGGACTGCTGTTGTGGTTCCAGTTGAGATTGGTCCAGAACTTTAATCTTTTGTTACAAACAGTGTGACAGCTGCTCCCTGTCAAACAGGCGTGGTATGTACCGACGCTCAGCTGTGGAGGGAGAGGAGTATACCACTGTGGTCCCTTTAGGGACAAGTCCTCTTTAGCCGGAAAGGTCAGAGTGAGACCAGTTTGAGAGGTGAGTCAGAGATTGGATAGAGCGGATCAAAGACCATATGACCCAGAGAGCATATCAGCCAAATCAACAGCTACACTTTGGAAACTTTCTGTTCTCTGCCCACAGCATTGTAGACCTCTTACGAAATCAGGTCATTTTTAACTTAATCACATCTCATTACCATGTTGCTATGCAGAAAAAAAAATGCATTTCAACAACAACCACAAGAAAAAAAAAAACAATTCAAATGTTCCTTTGCCTTCCAACATGCATCAAGAAATGATAAATGGAGGAGAGCTCTACTTCAAGATGATACTTTTAATATCATTCCTCCATCCATTAGCTATACCGCTCGTCCTCCTCAGGGTCGCAGGGGAGGCTGCAGCCAATCCCAGCTGAAATTGGGAAAGAGGTGGAGCACACCCTGGACAGATCGCCCATCTCACAGAGCACATAGAGATAAAAAAATAAAATAAAAAATCACACTCACATTCACACCTATGGACAATTAAGAGTCAACAAATCACCAGGTTCAAATCCAGAATCTTCTCACTGTGAGGTGACAGTGCTAACCACTGTTCCACTGTGCCACATTTTATTATCATATAATTACAAATAATTTGGTCATTTGCCTTTCTTTTGACCTCGGTAAAAGCATGAGTTAAAGGTTTGGGTTAAATACTCCCTTAAATTCATGTGGTTATTATAATGAACTTCATCTGACAGGTTGTGGTTTAGTTTATCAAAATGAAAAAGTAGAAACCTGAAGCAGTGCATCACTAGAGCTCAATGCAATGCAATACAATGCGTAAATAGTTCTCCTCAACACAAGCAGGGGACAATTTTTGATTTTATAGTTGGGCATTTAATAAAACATCAACAAAAGCACCAAAAAGCTGAGTGGACCTTTGAATTTATGGACCTTTGCACCGTCAAACTCATGACTTCATTATAAAGAACCAAATAAACTGAAGGACCAAGTTTTCCTTTATAGGTAGAAAAAGTCCTCCACCCTCTAAAGCTGAATAAACCACTTGAAATCCACTGGACTATCTGAAAGTGCACTGTCAAACAAGGTGAAAACAGGGCTGTTTTTCTAAGCTCCTAAAAGGTTTTGGAGCTAAATCGTTTTCACAGGACAGCGGCAATATGTTAAACATCTTTTACTAATTCATTGTTAATGTAGGACAATTCCTCCAGAGCTTACACATGCCAATGGTGCACAGGTTTTACATTTTGCAGCTGATTACAAAAAGTAATACATTCTTATTTTTACCTGAGTGTTTGTAGAAAGTCATGTTTGGTTCCAGTCAGGAGGAGAAGAAGGAGAAAAGAGAGACAACACAACGACGAGGAGGAGACAGTAGCATCCACAGAAGGTCAAACCCTGAGACCATACGCCTTGCTAACTTATGGGGGGCTGTATATACCCCTCTGTGACCCACACGCACCCCCGACCCCACGGCCAAATCCAACCTTCGGCCCCTCCAGTCCTTTTTAGGGTATGCATTGGAGGACAGAGCGGATGAGAGAGAGTATGATGCTGAGGGGATAGATTAGGTGAGATTGGATTCCACTGCTGTAACATTAGAAGGTAAAAAAAAGAAAACACAGTCTGAGGATTTTGAACCATAGCCATGAAGGATAAAAGATACTCCCACTGCCCTGACATAAAAAAGTTTTGTTATCGAGTGTTCAGAACATGTACAGATGACATGTAGGATCACTTAACATCATAACTCCTGTGAGTCATCATAAGGATGACTCACAGGAGGAGCACATTAATGACTGAGCTGAGGAGAGACAAAGAGCGGTCAAGTGTTACGTTAGCATTGTATTTCTTCTTATATCTTCATAACTGTGTGTATACATATATACAACTTTACATCACACGTTCCAGATGGTAAAATGGTATGCTGAAAACTAAACTGTGAAGAATAGGACAGGAAAAAAAACTATATGATCTTGAGAAATGGATTCTTTGGAGCTTTAAAATCCTGCAAAAAAGCACAGGTATTTTGAATGTCATTAAACCCTCAACACATTTTAAGTTGATATGGTGAATGTGTTAGCAAACAATAGCCTATTTTCCCATCCAGCTGTTGCAGGGGAACATTGAGTTGTGTTTCTGGCCACCTGGTGAATGTAAGTCCAGTAATCACCCTCTTTTAGCTCTGTCTTTGGTCTCCACCATCTCCTGGGGGAAATGTTTGTCTCTTTAGCTACTATAAAACCAAAACAAAGAGCTGAAAGATGCTAAAAAGCTCTGAAGAGCTGAGGGGAGTTGAAGGGAGCTGAGGGGAGTTGAAGGGAGCTGAGGGGAGCTGCAGAGTCACACGATAACTCTCTGTATAATGTGTCACTAACCACATTATACACAGTCATTATATTCATAGTTACAATCATATCGATTATAGTGCTTTAGATTAAGTTACACCATACTACACTGCATCAGGATCAAAACCATCATCGTTATCATTATCTATTCTGCAGTAAAGCAAATGTGACAGTACAGACGACACTTAACTCTGATTGGTTTTCACCTTTAGAGTCAGGCGAGTTTAAATACAGAAATATAGGATCATTATGGCAATGAGAGGAAACTGAGAGAAACCTCAAGAGACTGGCTACGACAGGAAATAAATCAGTTAGTAAGACTCGTGGTAAACTCACTGACCTCAGATAGAACAATAATACTTTACTTTTCAAAGGAAAGACTCATCTTTTAACTATATGAAATACCCTTCTTCTTATATTAGACACCCAACAAATCAATATAGTGAGCTGGCTTGTGTGTGTGTGTGTGTGTGTGTGTGTGTGTGTGTGTGTGTGTGTGTGTGTGTGTGTGTGTTTGTGCTCAGTGGTTTAAATGGCATCTGGCTGTACTTACAGATTTGATTTGGTCCATTACCATGGAACACAACATTACATCTCTCCCCCTTCATAATCTATCACCCAATTGCTCTGAACTCACAAAGACTAATTAATGTGCAGGAAGGCGCCACAACTCCCAGCCTACAAAAACCTCCCTAATATATGAACAGCTTTGTGTTTAGGACATCAGGATATTTCTTCTTCTTCCACTATGTCTTTACATACGTATTCAAATTGGATTGTTCTAGTTCCAAATGCTTTCATCTCTGACCAGACACTTTGATTTCAAATCTCTGCCCTCATCTCTTTATCTGCACCAAGATTCATTCCTCTCTGGTCTCAGATCCTTTGTAGTGTTGGATTGATGTGGATTTTGACTGTCAGAGGTTGGGCAAAATAGACTGAACAGGTGATTCTTCTTTCTAAATTAACAATTAACAGATGGAAGAATGATGAACTGCGAGTACAGCCTATCAATATATCAAAGGTCCAATATTACCAGGGGGCAGCATTAAATTAATACATGAACTATGCATAATGC